CCCTCCTGAGGCTTCCAAGCCACACAAAACTGCCTACTAACTCTAGTCGAAGCAACAACAGGAGTAAAAGAATTCACAATATCCAAAGCTACTTTAAAAACACAACGATTTAAAGCATAAATAACAAGTTTATTCTCAAAAATATACAAGTTCCTCGCTTTCCAAACCCACCTCCTCGCTTTCCAAACCCACCAAATAGCAGCATTTAAAAATCAATTTGATGCCAGGAGATACCAAAAGGGATTATTATGCAATGATAAATTTAAAACGCAACTACAAAACACAACATCAGTCCACCCCAAAAAAATTTAGGAGGCAAACTCCACTGTTTTGTCGCGGATGCCCGTTAACCATAATAAATCACGAAAAAGATGCAACAAAGACCTTTTTTCCTTTTTCCCCCAGTAGAACATACTACATAAGACTAGAGAAAAAGTCATTACCTCTCTGGAAACCGAAAAAGAATTAAATCGGCAAACGCTATGCAGAAATTCAGCCAAAAGAAAATGTCTCAATTAGGCAGACCAATCAACAGACCAAAAAATCCATGAGGAAAGAAAACAAAAATCAATTACAGAAAGAAACAAAATCAATACCAACATGCACCTCCACCAATAATAAAGATAAAAAGCTGCTTTAACATAAAACTCACCATTAGAAGAAAAATTTTACAAAATGGAATCTTGGATAGAAGCAACCAAAGGAAGAGGAACCGCATAAATTAAGCACTTAATATCATCAGAAAGACCGATACGTAACACAGAAAGATCCCAAGAACCATTATGAATAAGATCGCCCACCCGAAGATGCTCCTCACCTCGAGAAATAGACCTTTCCAAATCCACCAAAGCACCCACATGCAACAAAGAATTATACCATAAACTGATTTATCGACCATCTCCTACCCGCCAAGAAACATGAGACTGAAGATGCTGGAAACTACGAACAATCCCTTTCCAAGTACAAGAATCACAATCCCACAAGACCGGAGGAAAAGAGCAACCATGACCATATTTATGAGTCAAAACCTAGACCCAAAGAGTGGAGTCATGTATAAAAACCTTCCAACCCAACTTACCCAACATAGCAACATTAAACAATCGAGCACTCCGGAAACTCAAACCCCCAAACTTCATAGGCTTAATAAGCCAATTTCACCCAACCAAATGCATCTTACAACACTCCACTGTAGATCCCCCAATAAAAATTATGAGATAACTTATCAATAGTCCCACAAATAGAAGAAAGTAACCACACAGTTTGCATAGTATCCACAAATAGAGAGAAGCAGTAACCACACAGTGTGCGATAGTCAATAAATGACAATAAAGAAGAATAAAAGAGGTTTAATAAGATAGCTTACCCAACCAAATGCATCTTACAACACTCCACTGTAGATCCCCCAATAAAAATTATGAGATAACTTATCAATAGTCCCACAAATAGAAGAAAGTAACCACACAGTTTGCATAGTATAAACAGGTAAAGAAGAAATAAAAGATTTAATAAGAACTTCCTCACCGGCAGGACTAAGTAAACGGGACCTCCAATTTGCGAAATGAACCTCCACTTTCTGAATAATGTCCTGATACAGTGCCATAGAAGACCGCCCATGAAGTAAAGGAACCCCCAAATACTTGCCTAAATCTGAGGTAGCCGCCACACCTAGTAACTGCTGTAGCCTGTGTCGTATAGGATAAGAGATCGTCCTAGAGAAGGAAATGCGAGATTTGGCCAGATTCTTGCCTAAATCTGAGGTAACCGCCACACCTAGTAACTGCTGCAGCCTGTGTCGTATAGGATAAGAGACCGTCCTAGAGAAGAAAATGCGAGATTTGGCCAGATTAGCCTTTTACCCACTACCTCTGCAAAAGTCCGCCAAAACATCATGAACTACTTTAGCTTGTTGCACATAAGCTTTCTCCAAAATAATTAAGTAGTTGGGAAATAGCAAATGATTAATAAGAGGACCATCCCTTGAAGCAAGGGCCGAGACCCACTTTTTTCTAACCATTTGACGTTGAATCAGTAAAGATAGCCCCTCCATACAAAGCACAAATAGATACGGGGACAAAGGGTCACCTTTACACAGACCTCGAGAAGGCACATAATAACCAGAAGGACTCCCATTCTAAAGACTGCCAAAGAAGACTAGGCAAAAGCACTAATAATCAAAGAAACCCAAAAGTCAGAAAAAGCCAAAAGAAACCAGAACAAATCATAGAAAATCCCAATTCACTCTATCATAGGCTTTTTCCAAATCAACTTTCAAAGCAAAATGACCCATTTTAGACGTAGATCTCTGAAAAGAATGAAGAAGCTCTTGAGTGATAATAATATTGTCAACCATACTACGTCCCGGAATAAAGCTACTCTAAAAAGGACTACTAAACCTATCCATAAAGGGTTGCAACTGAAGAGCTAAAACCTTCATAACCACCTTATGTAAGACATTACAAAGAGTGATTGGCCTGGACTGAGAGATAAATTCCAGAGCAGCAACCTTATGAATGAGAACAATAAAACCTTTGGCCAAATGGGGATCCATCACACCAGTAGAAAACATGTGATTAACAAAAGAGACCACCTTATCACCTACAATATCCCAATACTTCTTAAAAAATAAAGGTTGGAACCCATCAGGCCTTGGAGATTTAAATGAACCCATACTAGAGACTATTGCCCAACCTCATCCCTAGAAACCGGCCTAATCATATCTGCCATAGCATCTGCTGATAAATGAGGAAAAACAATACCAGATAGCTGTCAACTGTTTTACTAGTAGTTATCTGTTAGCTGTTTATATAGCGGTTTAGAATAAAAGTGTTCGATATAAATAACTGTTTGATTGGCTATTTAATATAAAACGACAAGAAATATATGAAAGCGGGGAACAAGGTAAACACAAGTGATGGGTATAGGTGTTATAAAAAAATTATGAAACTGGAAACGTTAATGAAGATAACGTTTCATGAAATACTCTCTCAAATTCTAAACGCTAGGATAGATATATTATATTATCGAACGTTATAATTAATTAAGATAATGTTTTTTTGACCCATTCAAAATATTAAACACGACTTCAAACACCATTGCTGAATAGGGCCTTTAGTATATAGAAGTTGCTGATGAATATGAAGGATAAAACCTGGCATTAAAAAATATTTCAAGGAAAAAAAAAATTAAAGATAATAATTCGCAATACGTATGGAGAATTATCTTTTAATTATATCGCAAAATATGTTAAAAAAATGAAAAAGAAAATAAGTATGTTATATTCAAATTATCTTCTTTATTTTGTTATAACCAGGAGGAGGGTTCGAACTTGTATTATCGTCCTTACAGATATAAAAATTGCTTACTATTCCAATTAATACCTTATTGATATATTTAAGTTATCTCTTTACTTGTTTTGATTAACTATTAGTACCCAACCCAAAGAATGGGATGCCTCGCTTGACTAGAAGTCTTTGCTACCAGTATCGGCAAATTATCTCTTTACTTGAATACCTACGCTCCCAATCCGAGAACTAAGCTACTTTTAAATTAATAATAAAATGATGATAATACATTTTCCTACATTATATAAATGTATTATAAGATGTATATAACTCAGAAATAAACAAACAAAAAATATCTATCTATTTAATCAATAATTCATTTAAGTAGTGAATCACACCACTAAATTTGTTTTTGAATTAACAATGAAATAATGATATTTTTACACATTAAATACACAAAAAAATATTTTTTTAAAGCCTAAATTCCCTGAAGACACGTGAAATCTGTTTCATTAAGAGAGACGATATAATAAATTAATAAGATATGAGGTGTACATCCAGATCCCTAATAATAATAATAATAATAATAATAATAATGAAATATCAACACAACCTAACTAAATCAAATTGAATTACATATATCGTACGCGCTTGTTACTATATTCCAAAAATAAGCAGTACGTCCCTAGTGTACATCAACATACTGGACTTTATACAAACAAAAATTTTATACATATCTCTCTCTCTCTCTCTCTCTCTCTCTCTTTATTTTTTTTTATTATCAGCAAATAATATTTTTGTTTATTAATATAATTCTAGGAAAGTTTAATATAAATGAAAAACTGAACCCAAATCAATACACTTTTCAAATACAAAAATTATATATTATAATATTATTACTTGTTTCTACATTGTATTTAGAATTAGGATTGTAAATTAATCGGCTTGGAAAAAATGCACTCAAGCTCATTCAGTAAAATTAATAAGCTAAGTTCGAGCATTTTTATTAAGTTTATTTAATAAATGAGTTGAGTTCGAGCTGAAACTTTAATTTTGTAAAAATATATTTTTTTAACTGTTAATTAAATTATCAACAAGGCAAGTTAGAATTTAGTTTTTGAAGTTCAAATTGAGATTGAGTATATCTTTAACGAGCTTAATTCAAACAATGAGATTTTATTCTTCATTGTATTTTGTTCTTATTTTTTAATCTGATTGGTTTTTATGTTTCGATAAAAAAAAACGAGTTGAAATCAAACTTAATAGGATTTGAATTTATTAGACTGATTTATAAATATAATTGAAACTTTTCCTATATTAGAAATTCTTTAAATTAATAAAATAAATTTGAATTGAATTTTCAAAGTGAATTTTTCCAAATGCAGACGATGAAAAAATAAAAATTTCTCCAACAAATATTAGTCATGAATCAATATAATGTTGATGAGGGAAGATGGTGGAAAAGGCATGAATATTGGCAACTAGTGAGGCATGAAATTGGAAAGCTATGTGGTAGGTGAGGGTTTTTTCTAATGAAAGAAAACAAAGAACAGGGTTTGGTGAAGTAATTATCAATAATTACTTGCTCCATATATTTTCTAATTCTAATAATAATAAACTTATATTTGCTGATAAAAAAAATTATCAATAACCCGAAAAAGAACAAGCAGTCACATGGCCTCTTATAATTCAACATTTTATACATTATAAATACCATCACCATCCTCTCTAATCTATTCAACCCAAAAAAAAAAAGAACTTAAGAACTTACTACTCCACTTTTAAGTCTTAACCCAAGTTTACTTTTCCTATACCTTCAAGGACCAAGAAATGGCTCCAACACTTGCAGACTCAGCCACTGACAACTTTGATCTGAATGATTTTGTAATAAACCAAGGAAATGGTGTAAAGGGTCTGTCAGATTTGGGACTAAAAAGCCTTCCTAGACAATATATCCAACCCCAAGAAGCACTTATCAATATTATCCCAAATGAATCCATTCCTGTTATTGACATGTTAAACTGGGACACTGATCCTAAAATTGCAGAATCTGTTTGTGATGCTGCAGAGAAATTTGGGTTCTTCCAGTTGGTTAACCATGGAGTCCCACTTGAGGTTCTTGAAGGTGTTAAGGATGCGACACATCGTTTCTTTGGATTACCTGCAGCAGTTAAGAGAAAATATTCCAAGGAGCATTCATCTACTAATAATGTCAGGTTTGGTACAAGCTTTAGTCCTGACTGTGAAAAGGCTCTTGAATGGAAAGATTATCTTAGCCTCTTCTATGTCTCTGAAGAGGAGGCTTCTGCACTATGGCCTCCTGAGTGCAAGTAAGAAAATCCAACTCTTTTTTTCTTTTCTTTTTTCTTTTCCTTTCTAAAAAAGGAATATCTGTTTTGTATGTAATGTAAAAAATAATTAGTCATTCAGTATATAGTATCTTTTCTTTAAGATCAAAAGCAAATCATATATTTCATTTAAAATAATGAAACTTAATTATAAATGTTTTCCACAAGAAAAGTAAAATATGTATTTTTGTCATTATTTGTTATATTTGAGAATTGAATGCTAATTTTTTCTAGCTTTATTTAATTTTTTTGGCCGTTCTAAAATTTCTCTTTCGAAACATAGTATTTCTGTCCATTCACTGAAAGAGAAAAAAGGATAAAATTAGTTCTTACAAAATTTTTAGCGAACAAATTATTTGGTTTGACGGCGAAATAGATCCTCTCGAATTTCTTGTTTGTCAATTCATCCAAAGATGCTTATAAATTATGAGATAAAAAATCAAAATTTTGTTATTTATTTATTTTTAGTTTGGCTATGATTAAGCTCTAATTGTATATTATTATTATTTTGTTAATTTGACTAATTAAGGCTTACTTATTCTTTTCTCTTTAGGGATGAATGCCTGGAATACATGAAGAGATCTGAAGTTCTGTGCAAGAAGCTAATGGGTGCTTTAATGGAGAGATTGAACGTGAAAGAAATAGACGACAAGAAAGAATCTTTACTAATGGGTTCCAAAAGGATTAACCTAAACTACTATCCAAGATGTCCAAATCCTAATCTCACAATAGGCGTAGGTCGCCATTCTGATGTCTCTGCACTGACTTTTCTTCTGCAAGACGAAATCGGAGGGCTTTACGTTAGAGTAAACGAAGGAAAAGGAGAAGAAGATGGATGGGTTCATGTTCCTCCTATTGAAGGCTCACTTCTGGCTTTTCTTTTAGGATGAATGCCTGGGAATACATGAAGAGATCTGAATTCTGTGCAAGAAGCTAATGGTGCTTTTAATGCAGAGATTGAAACGTGAAGAAATAGACGACCAAGAAAGGAATCTTTACTAAATGGCGTTCCAAAAGGATTAACCTAAAACCTACCTATCCAAGAGATGTCCCAAATCCTATCTCACAATAGCGTAGAGTCGCCATTTCTGATGTCTCGCACTCGACTTTTTCTTCTGGCAAGACGAAATCGAGGGTCCTTACTTAGAGTAAAACGAACGGAATAAGGAGACAGAAGATGGGATGGGTTCATGTTCCTCCTATTGAAGGCCTCACTCGTTCATCAACTGTTAGGAGATGCCACTGCAGATATAAGCAACCGTGCTCATTATAGAGTTATAGAGCACTAGATTTGTAATTGCTGGAAGCAAAAAACATGTATATCTCTAATTTCCTCGATCTTGTTGAATCCGGAAGCAAAAACAGAATCTCAATTCCGATTTTTGTTAATCCAAAGCCGAGTGATGTGATCGGTCCTTTGCCTGAAGTTCTTGCAAGTGGAGAGAAGCCTAAATACAAAAACATCCTTTATTCTGATTATGTCAAGCATTTCTTCAGAAAGGCTCATGATGGGAAGAAGACTGTTGACTTTGCTGTTGCTAAATAATTTTACTACAACTGTTATATTATGAATGTAGTAATAGTTTGTGTCACTGTTAATAATGCCGTAATCATATAATCTTTATTGAATAAAATTTCAGATTTGTTAAAAATAAGAATTAATAACTGTTGTTCTTTTTCTTTTTCCTTTAGAAATAGAAACAAGAATGTAATTTTAATTATTTTTACAAGTTGGAACTATCGTGGCTGTATTCGTGTTAGTTGACAGTGACACGCTAATTCAGATTAAATTTTTTCACAATACTTTATGGTTTTTTTTCTTTTTTTTTTTTTTTTTTGTAAACCAGTGTATCGGAACCCTATGATTAGAGAACTATAATTCACCTCTGCAGGTGTGTTTTGGGTTATTTTTATGAACTTGAAATTGGAACTTAATTAATAAAATAAGATTGTCAACTACGTAAATCATGCAACCAACGATGATCCTGAGCCAATAGGCTCATCCTGAATACACCAATGAGTATCCAACACAAAACAAGTACATATAGAGAAGCAGGAATCACTTTGGTCTATTCGTTTTCGTAAGAAATAGATAGTCTCTTTTGATTCATTAGACTTATTCTTCAATTAGGCATATTTTAGGCAAAACATAGAGCAAATAATATTATAGAAAAAATATAAATTCATCTCTAATTTATAGTCAAATTAATATTAAAAAAAATCTATTTTTCCCTCTAATTTATAGGTTTTTTACCCTCTCATCCATATATATTTAAAGTTACTTACCGCTTCAACCAAAACTCCATTGGTTTACTTTATAAGATACATACCAAAAATAGATAGTTTTTGAATTAAATTATTTACTCAAAGAATACGTGGTAGAATTATTCTATCGAAAGAAAGGATGATATGATTTTTAATAAATTTGCAATGAAAGAAAGGTAATCTTGAATGCTTGTTTCCCAGATAAAAGGCAACTAAAAACAGTAGATTAATTAGGTGAATTGATCTTCTCCTCAAGATACTGAGAAATTGACCAACAAATTCCAGGCATCTGGCATTTATTAATTAATGCAACATTGTTTAGAGATCCACCAACCATTTGATCGATCTGGAAGAAAGCTTTTAAGTACTTAATTTAATTGATTTTTTTTTTTTTTTTTTTTTTTTTTTTTTTTTTTTATATGCAGATTCTTTGTAAGTTGGAAAGCAATTGGTGGACAGGACAGAAATTGCTAGAGAGATACAAAATTTCTTTTTTTAAAACAAGCATGTGCGTTGGTTCTACCAATTTTTATTAAATTGCTAGTCTAGAGCAGTCCAGTAATGTGAATAATTAATTAATTAAATGGATCAATGAGTAACTCAAACTGCAAACTAAGTTGGAAAAACTAAAGAGAGAAAATGATAAATTATAGTCGGGCTAGTCTTCTACGGACACCGCATGGTTAAAAAACCAGAAAAGAAAAAGTTTATTAATTTATTTATAGTCATTACTGACATTTATGAATCAGATTTGCTTGAATTAATTAGGAAGTTTAAAGAAACCTGCTCTACTCAATTACTTGCGGCAGCTGGTAAGTTTGCAGGCGGGCTAGCAATGGCCAACTTCTAGAAATTTGCCTTTGTTAATTACAAATCCCCTTTTGTTTCTGTTTTGACAATATGTTTGCGAATATTAATTATTTGTTTTTAATCAGTTGCTAAATTAGTAGATATTTTAAAAATTTAAAATATTTTATTAATTGATTATCATTAATTAATGATAAAATTGATTAAACCAATTATATTTATTAATTATATCATCTAAAATTTTATAACTAATCCATTTATTTCTATAATATAACTTACAAGAAAATATTTTCCACAATTTTTCGTTGTTTCGGGCACTCGGGAAAATAACTAAACTGAAAATATTTTCCAGGTTAAAGGAAAATTAAGTTATTTTTTAAGAAAAACAACTTCCCATTTTCGAGAGAGTAAAAAAATTTTCGGATAATCACCATATTTATTTATTGATCATCCATATTTTAAATTTATTGATCATCATAGTCACTACCACCAGTCACACTGACGGTTTTCATATATATAATATATATATTAAATTATGAAAACCCGTCAGGTGGTCAAATTTAAATGTGACTGGTGGTAGGCCCGTAGTGACTATGAGGATCAATAATTTAAAATATGATGATCAATAAATAAATATCTGATATATATAATTATATATATATATATTTGCCATTCTTTTCATATTTAACAATAAATTTTAAATTATAAAAATTTTATTATTATTAATATTTTTATGTTTTTATGGTATTATGAGATAAAAACTTTAATATTTTTAACTAATTTTCAATATTACAACCAAACAACATAAAGTAAGTCATTTGAAAAATATTTTTCAAGCAAAATGTTTTTCATGAAAATGTTTTCCAGCAAGTTATTTTACGGAAACAAATGGAGCTTAAGCTAATACGAGAAAAATTAATTAAAACTAAAAAAAAATAAAAACAAAAGAAGAGACTTTAGGAAGAATAAAGAACTTAAAAAAGAGAGAGAAAACAAAAAATGAAGGACATGAAAATGAAAAAAGAAGATGAAGGAGAACAAGAAAAAAGAAACTGAAAAAGAAGAAGAAATAAGAGAGGAATGATGTAAAAAAAATTAGGTACAAAGAAACGAAGAAGAGGAAAAAAAGTACTTATTTTAACACTATTTAAATGATGCTCTTTATTATTTTTATTACTATATTTTATGTATAGCATTTGGCATTTGCTCAACAATAATTTTTAAGATAATGCTTAATGATTACACTCTTTTAATTGTTAATAAAACGTTGCTCTGCGTAATGTTTTATTTGGACATGAAATGTTAAGAAACCATAGATGGAATAAATTGTAAATCTTTTCTTTTAATCTAACGGTATATATATATATATATTTTTTTTTTTTTTTTTTTTTTTGAGATAAAAAATGGGTTAATATTTAGATGCAAATAAAAAATAAATTGGAGATATTTATTTATTTAATTTGTTGTTAACAATTTACAAAACTATGATAAAATAGTAATAACAAATTATTATTTTGGCCATAACATTAACATGCCAAAATCATATTCATTATAAATATCCCAAACTCAGTCAAACAATTAGTGGTGCACTGAGGGATTTAAAATAAGAAAGCAGTTGGTCTTATAAAAAATTGGTCCTAATTAGACTAAACTTGGAAGAAGGTAGGCAAGTGAACAAAATGGGTAGGTAAGTTACTTATTTTAATTTTTTTATTATAGTTAACAAAAGAAAAATTGTAAAGAAATACCATAGCAGTCCACATTTGTTTTAATCATCAAGGAAGAGAAGCTATAAATAGCAATGGATAATACTTTGATTGTCACCGGTACCACCTCTACCATTTTCATTTTCTTCTTACTTCATATACTAATATTAAGAGCTATTATTCTCCCTCAATCAATTACTTTCTTTTAACTAGTTGAAGAAGAAATGGCTCCAACAATGTCCACTGATTCCTTTGATCTGACTGATTTTGTGATTAACAAAGGAAATGGAGTGAAGGGTCTTTCAGATTTGGGTCTCAAAAGCCTTCCGAAGCAATATATTCAACCCCAAGAAGCGTTGATTAATATCATACCTCATGAATCAATTCCTGTTATTGACATGTCCAATTGGGATAGTGACCCTAAAGTTGCTGAGTCCATTTGTGATGAAAGTTGCTGAGTCCATTTGTGATGCTGCAGAGAAGTAATGGGTTCTTCCCAATGGTTAACCATGGAGTCCCACTTGAGGTTCCTTGACGGTGTTAAGGATGCGACCACATCGTTTCCTTTGGGCTAAAATAACCAGTGAAGTTAAAGAGGAAATTAAACTCTAAGGAGTTTCATCTACTAAATAATGTCAGGTTCGTAAAGCTTTAGTCGCTGAATGCTGAGAAGGCACTTAATGAAAGATTATCTTAGCTTTTTTATTGTCCTCTGAAGATGAAGCTTCTTGCTGTGGCCCTCTGCTTGCAAGTAATTAATTTTTTAAAACTCAAACCTGAAACTCTGCTTTATTTAGTTTATTCTTCTTTTTTCTTGAGTTGAGTCAGCTTATGCTTCGAACAAAATTACTAACAAACTAATACTAATTGTTGATTTTCTGGTATAGGGATGAATGCTTGGAATACATGAAAAGATCAGAAATCCTCTGCAAGAAGCTAATGGGTGTTTTAATGGAGAGATTGAACGTGAAAGAAATAGATGAAAAGAAAGAATCTTTACTAATGGGTTCGAAAAGAATTAACCTAAACTACTATCCAAGATGTCCAAATCCGAACCTCACAATAGGCGTAGGTCGCCATTCTGATGTCTCTGCACTGACTTTTCTTCTGCAAGACGAAATCGGAGGGCTTTACGTTAGAGTAAACGAAGGAAAACGTTAGAGTAAACGAAGGAAAAGGAGAAGAAGATGGATGGGTTCATGTTCCTCCTATTGAAGGCTCACTCGTTATCAATGTAGGAGATGCACTGCAGATATTAAGCAACGGTCGATATAAGAGTATAGAGCACTGTGTAATTGCTAGTGGAAGCAAGAACAGAATTTCTATTCCTATCTTTGTTAATCCAAAGCCAAGTGATGTGATTGGTCCTTTGCCCGAAGTTCTTGCAAGTGGAGAGAAGCCTAAATATAAAAACATCCTTTATTCTGATTATGTCAAGCATTTCTTCAGGAAAGCTCATGATGGCAAGAAGACCGTCGGATTTGCTGAAATATGATAAATTCTTCATACTATTATTATATGCTGTAGTAACCCAAACGATTTGATTTTTTTTTTTTTTTTTGTTATTAATGTCTTTTATCAGTGAATTTTATTTGCTTTTATCAGTGGAATTTATTTGTCTCTTTTTTTTTTTTTTTTTTTTCCTTTCTTTTTATTTTTCTCTTTTTTTTTTTTTTTTTCTTTCCTCCATGTACTGGAACTGTGTATTACTGAATAAATTAAGAGATATATAAAGAAAATTCAACATTATAATATTTATTTCTGTAAAGATAATTTATTTCTTAGCTAACTTACTAATAAGAATTTTTTTTTTTATTTTTCATAAATAAATAAACTGCTTCTATTCAAGAATATGTAGTGTAGTTGCTAAACTTGTTTCAATAATTAAAATCATATCGGCTTAGATTACAATTAAAAAGGAAATTAAAAGGGAAAAAAATCTAACAAACTCAAGGTGGAAGAAATAGAGAGAGAAGAAATTTACATAATATTCAAAGGATAAATATTTTTCCAAATAAAAATAATAATAATTCAAAGGAATATATAGTTGACTGTGGTCCTACATTTATGCAACTTTTCCGAGGCGGCTCATAAGGCCAACCCATGGGTCGATTTCACGAATTGATCGTCTCTAATAAGGACTTAGTTATTACCAAGAACGACTAATTAACTTATTTTGACTAATTAACTTATTTATCTCAGAAAATACTGTTAATGATATGCTCTAATTGATTTCATAATTTAACCCATGATTATTCTTTATTAATATTCTACTAAAAAAATTATACGTGCAAAAATTGGTTACGAGAGTAAATTATTTGACTAACACCTAATTAAGTAAGATTTGATCATATATATATATAACCCATGATCTATTAATTTCTAATTGAAATTTTTACTAAACATGTTTAATCAAATTATTTGACACAAATTAAATGTTAACTATATGAAACAACTAAACCAAATGTCCGTTAAATATTATTCAAGTAAGTTAAACACAACATATGGAGGAAGAAACAAATATGAAAGTCAAAGTTAAAAGTTAAGCAAGAATGGTTAAAACGACTAGAAGCAGTAAAATTAGGTCCAATTAGTGGCATCATTAGTCTTCATCAAACTGAAATTGACCAATTATTCTAATTAATCAAAAAATTGCAAAATATAATTAAAATCTTGAATATCACTTAATTATGGCTAGCTAGAAATTTCTTGGAAATTTGTTACATTCACTAACTGTTCTTGTATCTTATTATAAATTTATAATTGTCTTGTACATTATAATATTATTTTCACATTTTAAACTAATCACACCTTGACTTAGCTGACATAACACTAAAATCTTAGGTCAATTAAATAATGGATTTGGCCTAATTTTTTATAAAATAAAAAATATAATTAGTTAATAGTATTGATTCCAAAAGCACATCTTTCAAATATTTTTTTATTTAAATATGTTCAATATATAAAAACTTAAAACGACTTGATTACCCTAATTAGCATATGGCTATTAATGGAAAGGAAAGCATTCACCTAACTAAAATTTGATGTTAAGTATGCACTAAAACAAACTTAATTAAGCAGCTAACACATGAATTGAGTGGGTAGGCATAATCCACGACTAAGCAGATTGGTCAGATTAGGAAATAAATATAATACGTGTCATCACCAAACAATCGACCACTCAACCTTAAATAAATTATTTATAGGTATCTAACATGTGTGTCTTCACACGATTGTCTTTAGCTGTGTGATAAGAGTTTAACATAAGATGTTGTACAAAATTAAAAATACAAAATGAAAGATGAACTCAAGATACAAGTACAAGTAATTCTACCACTTATTGGAAATTTTAGGCGGTGTTTCACAATAGCTTTTTAATTAGTTTTTAGCGATTAAAATACTAAATATTATTGTTTATAGTCTTCAGTGACATAACTTTTAAATTAACTTTTAAAGATTAAGGTAACATTTTATAAAAAGTTAACTTATGTAATGTGTATCTTTTTAGCATTTTATGAAACGCTACTTAAACAGTTAATAGCTAAACGCAATTAAAACAGCTAACAAATAACTACTAAATCAGCTAATTGTGCCAAAACAGACACTTAATTTTACATATCAACCTTATCCTTTGTCTGTCTTCAGTCAATTTTATGTTGATGTGCCCGTAATCTCTCATAAGTGAGCCCACAGCATCAAATGGGAGTGGCAAATCATATATTCATGTAGACTAAAAAAAGCTCATTCAACCCTAGTTTAATCCTCGTCGTTTCACGCTAGGAAAATATTTAAAAAAAGAAAGAGGTTCAGCTTCAAAGGAAAAGGAACAATGTTGAAATAGAAGTTAGTTTGCCGGAAAATGGATTCCGGCTTTGTTATAGAAGGTCATCCTTAGCTGAGATATAAAAGAAAATTTCCTTCAGAATCGAGTAATGCTCATGAACCCATTATTAACCCCAAATTTTCTAAATCCTAAAACGTCATAACAGTTAGAGAGAGAAATCCATCCAAATCTTGAGAGAGGTGGAAGAGAACAGAGAATGAAAAAGAAAGCAAATTATTATTAATTCTAATTAAATACGCTTATATACTCGTATATATAATTAGTCAGTTAATAAAATAAATATTATATCTATTAATATTAACATTAAAAAGTAAAAAAGATAACCGAAGATAATATTATAATATTAAATTAGATAGTGAAATTTTCAGAACAAATATTATTAATGCAGAATATTTTTCTTTAATTTTCCTTTAGTGTCTTGGCAATCAAAAACAAAGAATGAGATTGGACCCAAATAAAACATTGATCATAAATCGATTTACGATAAAGAATTTCGATTTAAGGAATTCAGATAAGAACTACTTGCTAATTTATAGAAAAAGAAACAAAGAAAGAAAAGGAAAATCTTTAATGGAAAGAAAAGAGATGTAGAGAGAGAGGGACAAAGGAGGATAAAATATAGAAGAAGAATTGCGGGTTCATTATTACAAGGTGAAGCCAACATTTTCCAAATTGCAGGTTCAATCTTTTTTCCTCCTAAATGTTTTAATATATTCAAAATAAACAACACAAGAAAAGGAATGAGTGAATAATTCCGTCCAAAAAGATTTTTCTGCTCTGATATTAACAATAACTGTTTTTCAAATATCATCACTTTTAAAATATTAATAAAATTTTTTATTACGAGTATTAATTTGTTTATGTAAAAATTACTTATTATAATTTATAAGTCAGTATTAATTTAATAATAATATTAATATAATTTTTTTTAGTAATTTTAATTAAAACGATATAAATAAATCACGGGTTCCTGCTTAATTTCTGTATGCAGTATATTAAACTATCAAACTGACAAAATAAAATTGAAAAGGAAGATTTAAATTAAGTAGATAATTGTGTATTTGTTACATCTTTTGGTTTGTTTAATGAAGAATAATGAAATTCAATTGAATTATTACACCACAGATGATCATATCTCAGCAAATCCAACGGTCTTCTTGCCATCGTGAGCTTTCCTGAAGAAATGTTTGACATAATCAGAATAAAGGATGTTTTTGTATTTAGGCTTCTCTCCACTTGCAAGAACTTCAGGCAAAGGACCGATCACATCACTCGGCTTTGGATTAACAAAAATCGGAATTGAGATTCTGTTTTTGCTTCCGCTAGCAATCACACAGTGCTCTATACTCTTATATCGACCGTTGCTTAATATCTGCAGTGCATCTCCTACATTGATAACAAGTGAGCCTTCAATAGGAGGAACATGAACCCATCCATCTTCTTCTCCTTTTCCTTCGTTTACTCTAACGTAAAGCCCCCCGATTTCGTCTTGCAGAAGAAAAGTCAGGGCAGAGACATCAGAATGGCGACCTACGCCTATTGTGAGATTAGGATTTGGACATCTTGGATAGTAGTTTAGGTTAATTCTTTTCGAACCCATTAGTAAAGATTCTTTCTTTTCGTCTATTTCTTTCACGTTCAATCTCTCCATTAAAGCACCCATTAGCTTCTTGCAGAGGATTTCTGATCTTTTCATGTATTCCAAGCATTCATCCCTGTACCAGAAAATCAACAATTAGTATTAGTTTGTTAGTAAATTTGTTCGAAGCATAAGCTGACTCAAGAAAAGAAGAATAAATAAATAAAGCAGAGTTCAGTTGAGTTTAAAAATAATTACTTGCAAGCAGAAGGCCACAAAGCAGAAGCTTCATCTTCAGAGACATAAAAAAGGCTAAGATAATCTTTCCATTCAAGTGCTCTTTGCCAATCGTGAGCTTTCCTGAAGACTACACTGTTCTTAATTGACATAACATCGAAGTAAAGCCGATGTTTTTGTAATTTAGGCACTAGGAGGCACACTCACTCACGTTGCAAGAACTTCACGCAAAAGTGACCGTGATCACACTTCAACTACCGCTTTGGAATATAACAAACACACTCTGCAATTCGCAATAATTCTGTTTTAGCTCCGAGCAATAGCAATACACACATGTGCATCTATACTCTTATATCGCCGTTGCTTAATACGTAAGTCATTGCACTCTGCGTATCATGTGAGAGCACGTGAGCCTTCAGTTAGGAGAGTAGTAGGCATGATGACCGCAGCATTGACCATCCTTCTTCTCAATTCACTATCGTTGACTCTAACGTAAAGCCCCGATATCCTCTTGCGAAGAAAAGTCAGGGTAGAGACTATCAGAGAATTGTGTCTGACGGTACAGCTCATTGGTGAGTATTAGGTATTGGAGCGATTAACATTGCGATATGTATCGAATCTCACTTAATTCATAATGTTCGAACCCTTAATGTAAAGACTTCTATTCTTTCGTATCTTTACTTTCTGAGCACGTTCAATCTCTCCATTACAAGCTACCCATATTAGAGCTTACTACTGCGCAGTATGGAGTCTTCTTCGAATCTGTCAGTCAAGTGTAAATTTTCAAACAGAGCTATTCATACTCTTGTGAGTGCTAGCACTCAGCAAACATATTACACACAACTTAGTAATTAGTCTATAGCGGTATAGGTAAATATATTTGAGTTACAGATATGCTATTTCAGAAGCTCGACACGCTGCACTACAAGAAGAAAAGAAAAAAATAATAAATAATAAAAATCAATTAGCTAGATGCAGTTGTAATTAATTAATTATATACTTGCAGCACCAGAGGCCACGGCCAACGACAGGACAACTTATACTCATGAGAACATCTAAGAGAGCAGACTAAAGAATGAATACCGTATTATCCATTTCAATAGCTAAGAGCTTTGCTCAGCTATCTATGTCTAGTATCATATGTAAATCATTCCGTGCACAGTACACTTGATCAGCATTATAGTAAAGCATCCTTTTGGAGAGTACTATCTCCTCTTAGTACTGTGAGCTTTAGGAGTACTCCCTCTTATAGAAACGATCGATGTCTGGCATCAGCTTCAACCAACCAGTCAAAGAAACAGCATCGAGATTAGTGGGCACTGCCACCTATGGTAAACGCACCACTTTGAAATGAACACAATACGAATCTACTGCAGCAATCACCAAAAGTGACTCATGCAACTTTAGGGTCACTATCCAATTTGGACATTAAATAACCACGAATGTAGATACATGCACGTATATATAACTTCCAATCAATACGGTTCACTCTATTGAGGTATGAGAAGTAATATTCAGCATATTCGTGATAGTCACTTATCCGAGAGACTTCGACAATCTCGAAGACCACTATCAATCACACCTATGTATTCTCACTGATTGATTAAATCACAAATATGCATTAAGAATATAACAAGACGCTCAGTAAGCATTGAGTGTGTGTGGATTGAGTGAGCCATTTGCATACATCTGAACTAGTGAACTGTTAAGTGAGAATAGATAGCACCTCATTAAATATATCTGAAAGTATTCACTGAAGGGAAAGAAGATTACAAATGGTACAGATGGCTCGTGCTTACAGAGTTCTATTGAATATTCACTACATATAGGCTCATATTATAGCTTCTTCGTATTCTGCGATTAGATAAGAACTCAGATGAATATGTGAAAGAAACGATGTGTCGCATCCTTAACACCATCAAGAACCTCAAGTGGGACTCCATGGTTAACCAATTGGAAGAACCCATACTTCTCTGCAGCATCACAAATGGACTCAGCAACTTTAGGGTCACTATCCCAATTGGACATGTCAATAACAGGAATTGATTCATGAGGTATAATATTAATCAACGCTTCTTGGGGTTGAATATATTGCTTTGGAAGGCTTTTGAGACCCAAATCTGAAAGACCCTTCACTCCATTTCCTTTGTTAATCACAAAATCAGTAAGATTAAAGGAGTCAGTAGACATTGTTGGGGCCATTTTTACTTCAACTAAATGAATGTAAGTGAGAATAATAGCTCTTAATATTAGTATTTGAAGGAAGAAGAGAATGAAAATGGTAGAGGCGGTGACAATCAGTGTATTATCCATTGCTATTTATAGCTTCTCTTCGTTGATTAAAACACATGTGAATTTCTGTTTTAGTTGTTTATTTATTTTATCTATCTTTTTATTTAATTAGGCTTGTCTCACCAACCCACTATACGTGCAATTTCCTGCCCTCTTCAAATTTTACCTCTTTTTTTTTCTAATTTTTGAATTAATTGCATTTGTACGTGTTTAAGACCAGCAATCTATAGTTGACTAGTCAAAGTCTATCTGATACATCGAATTTAGCTTATAAGAATTCTTCCTTCCTACTCCCTTGATCTCTTCTTGCAGAAAAACTTACTGAGTTTGGTGTTTCTTTTACATAAAAACTATGCGGTTAACCCTGCGATGTAATGTAAATATTTTTGACATGTAAAATATATATATTGAATAAACTGTTAAAAATTAAAATGTATACAATGTATAGATAGTATGATTCAAATGTATCGTGTAAAAATGAAAATTTTTATTCTAACTAAAGAATGACGGATTCATGCAATAAATCTAAAAAGAAAAAGAATCTAGTTTTTATATATGGCCAGTTGAAGTAGAGAAAATACTGATGGAAAAATTAATAAGGACTTATATATTCTTGGAGTAATTATTTAAGCGTAGAATAAATAAATTTGAAAAAATTATGAAGGATAAGTAAGAAATATAAGTAATAAATTTAGAAAATCAAAATTAGATAAAAGGTTAAAAGCTATTACTTTATTTATTTCAATTCATTTCTTATATATTTTTTAGTAATACATTTTTTTGTCCATTTATATGTATTTGTTCTGATTTTTTTATGAAATATTATTTTAGGCTAATTTATGAACAAATCATCATTTAGAAGGTGAAATGGTTTTAACTTTTAAGAATGCACAATTTAAGACCAATATGGTTATTTTAAATAAAAAAGTTGACTTAATAATTAGTTAAGTACAAAATATATAATGAGTGCTTCTATTTATAGGATTGATCAATGTTTGAGAACAACTATGTAGGCAATAATCAAATAACTGAAAAAAATGTTAAGAAACTCATTTAAAATACCTAGATTTTGATTTGGAGACTCCAATGAACTATCTAACAATGCTTAGAACTTTCGTAGCCAATCTATATATGTTATTGAAAGACTATCCTATCAAATTCAAAACATACATCATGAAATACTTGAAAGGATGCAATGCTTATCAAACTCATAAAGAATTAATAAGAAATAATACTAAAAGTCATTGTATTAAAAACTGTCTCATAAATTAGAGAGAATTTTAAAAGAGCAACATATTTTTTCTTCAAAAACCTACAATTTTTTCCTCACTTTCCTCAAATTAGTTAATTAAATACTCAAATCTTAAAAAGTCTCTCTCTTTTCAAAGGAAGTGTCTTGTCAACCCTCAACAAAAATCAACGATTTTCCTTTATATATATATATAATGATTTTACTTTACATCTAAACTTTGAAAATGATGCCCTATGAAAAAGTTCAAAATACCATTATATGTGAGCTCTTTTATCCATGTGAAAATTGCTCACTGAATAAGAAAAGTGATAGACAAAAAAGGAATGATATTTATTGTACTTGTGTTTTCATAGTATGACTAAATTACTATTTTCTGTGTACTTTTAAAGTGTACTCAATTTTAACAATGTACTTTTATGAATGTGAGCACAAATATAAGTGACAAGTTGTGTAATTTTCTATAATATGGATGCACAATTAGAAGGTTACACCCTTGTATTAAAAGATCATTTTATGTTAATATTACCCCTTGTAAATATGTACATGAATTTCGTTAATTCCGACTAACTTAATGTAATTTTATAATTTAACTGAGCATTGATAAAAATTTATACTCATGTTCTTCAAATAAAATGTGGGGCGATACATACATATATAAATTGACTTTAAAAAATATACTAAATGTGGCCACAACTTTTTCATAATTACACATTTAGGTTATCTTGTTGTAACTTAGTAAAAAGTATGGTGCTCCTATAATTTTTTACATCATAAAGTATATGTTTTCGTGCAACAATATTTTGGGATTAACTAATTTCAAGAACAACCACAATGCTTTGTTCTTCATCAATAAAGAGTTTAAATTTAGCGGTTAGAAAGTTGTGGCCATATCTTGAGAATATTTGGCGAATTGATTGGAATGTCATTAAGATAAAATGAAAATGATGGATTCATGTTACAACAATTATTGTTGCTTTCCTTCTATTAACCTTTTTTTGAAAAGCTTGTGAATGCAATTACACATTTGTGTCTTGTTTTAAATTTACATATGGGCATATTGTAGAAGTTGAAGAAATAGTGAGAATAATAAAAATTTTGGCTCCACATTTTCATTACATTTGCGCACATATATTTGAAAATTTTTCAGAGTTTAATGCATTATCTCACTCCTTCCCTCCATTTTTGGTTGTAAATCGCATAATTAATGCTTCAGTTTGAATCTCATTGTATGAATTGGCTCTCCCTCAATTAACAGATCAATTAATATTGTTTATGGATAGATTATCTATAAAATGGAACAAATATCCAGTTATTCTTTACATAAAGATAGGGAGTATCATTTATCCAATTGAAATTAATATTGTGAATAAATAAGATAAAATGAATAAAAAAAACACTTTAATTGATGAACAAATAAGATTTTGAACTTTTTTTTATTATTTTACAAGACAGATATAATATTGAATTACTTCACTATTGATACAATAAGACTTTAAAATTCAAAAGCAATATTGTCATGCATAAACATTTTTTATATTAAAAAAAAATACTAAAATTTCATTCTAGCTCTAACATCACTTATTAGAAGATATGGAAAACAATTAATTTCTACCTAATCTTTTAATAAATATCGACAAAATAAAAAACTTTGAAATATTTTCAAATTTATCTGATTTTTTTTTCAAAAAAAAAAAAAAATTCCAAATTCCATCTTATGTCTTATTAATTTGGCTCATATAATTAAACTATTATTTTATTCAACTGATTCATGTAACTAATAAATCATTCATATTAAACAGTTAAGTTATAGATGTTTGATATAAACTTTTTAATCAGCAGCGTTGATAGCTAATAGAATTCTCAATTAGTTATATTTTGAAACTTTTCATATCAATCAGTAGCTAATTTAATTTGGTTCGATCAATTTACTTATTAAATAAATATTCTTATATTATTTTCTCTTAGAAATTCAGCATTTAGCGCAAATAGATTTCCATTGATAATTAGTGAAGGATAATTTAATTTTAAAATTATAAAGTTATATTAGCTTGAATTAAGGTAGCTTTGTGGCAAAAAGCACTTGCATGGTGGATCGTTATTACCTCCTAGCGAGTAAAAATTAATCAAATTTGTGGACTGTTAAAATGTACATGAGCCTGGATCTCGTGCAAGTATAAAAAAAAAAAAATTAAATAGTTATATTAACACTTGCATTAATCCGATCTTACATTGAAAATACTATTTGTAACTTTTAAATTAATTCATTCAATTTAAGTAACTCTATTGATTCATTATGGATCTTCAAATCTTACTTAATTAGGTGTTACTCAATTAAATAATTTACTCTTGTAACCAAATTTTGCACGTATAATTTTTTTAGTAGGATATTAATAAAGAATAATCATGGGTTAAATTATGAAATCAATTAGAGCATATCATTAACAGTATTTTCTGAGATAAATAAGTTAATTAGTCAAAATAAGTTAATTAGTCGTTCTTAGTAATAACTAAGTCCTGATTATCAATTTATTAGAGACGATCAATTCGTGAAATCGACCCATGGGTTGGCCTTATGAGCCGCCTCGGAAAAGTTGCATAAATGTACGACCACAGTCAACTATATATTCCTCTGAATTATTATTATTATTATTATTATTTGGAAAAATATTTATCCTTTGAATATTATGTAAATTTCTTCTTTCTCTATTTCTTCCACTTTGAGTTTGTTAGATTTTTATTTTGAATTTTTTCCTTTGAATTTCTTTTGTAATTATAATCTAAGCCGATATTATTTTAATTATTGAAACAAGTTTAGCAACTAAACTAAACTAAACTACATATTCTTGAATAGAAGTAGTTTATTTATTTATGAAAAATAAAAAAAAAAATTCTTATTAGTAAGTTAGCTAAGAAATAAATTATCTTTACAGAAATAAATATTATAATGTTGAATTTTCTTTATATATCTCTTAATTTGTTCAGTAATACACAGTTCCAGAACATGGAGGAAAGAAAAAAAAAAAAAAGATACAAATAAAATTCACTGATAAAAGACATTAATAACAAAAAAAAAAAAAAAAAAAAAAAAAAAAAGATAAAATTTAAAATTCACTGATAAAAGACATAAAAAAAAAAAAAAAAAAAAATCAAATTGTTTGGGTTACTACAGCATATAATAATAGTATGAAAATTTTATCATATTTCAGCAAATCCGACTGTCTTCTTGCCATCATGAGCTTTCCTGAAGAAATGCTTGACATAATCAGAATACAGGATGTTTTTATATTTAGGCTTCTCTCCACTTGCAAGAACTTCAGGCAAAGGACCAATCACATCACTTGGTTTTGGATTAACAAAGATAGGAATAGAAATTCTGTTCTTGCTTCCACTAGCAATCACACAGTGCTCTATACTCTTATATCGACCGTTGCTTAATATCTGCAGAGCATCTCCTACATTGATAACAAGTGAGCCTTCAATAGGAGGAACATGAACCCATCCATCTTCTTCTCCTTTTCCTTCGTTTACTCTAACGAAAAGCCCTCCGATTTCGTCTTGCAGAAGAAAAGTCAGTGCAGAGACATCGGAATGGCGACCTACGCCTATTGTGAGATTAGGATTTGGACATCTTGGATAGTAGTTTAGGTTAATTCTTTTCGAACCCATTAGTAAAGATTCTTTCTTTTCGTCTGTTTCTTTCACGTTCAGTCTTTCCATTAGAGCACCCATTAGCTTCTTGCAGAGAATTTCTGATCTTTTCATGTATTCCAAGCATTCATCCCTATACCAGAAAATCAACAATTAGTATTAAATCAACAATTAGTATTAGTTTGTTAGTAATTTTGTTCGAAGCATAAGCTGACTCAAGAAAAGAAGAATAAATAAATAAAGCAGAGTTCAGTTGAGTTTAAAAATAATTACTTGCAAGCAGAAGGCCACAAAGCAGAAGCTTCATCTTCAGAGACATAAAAAAGGCTAAGATAATCTTTCCATTCAAGTGCCTTCTCAGCATCGGGACTAAAGCTTGTACCAAACCTGACATTATTAGTAGATGAAAGCTCCTTAGAGTAATTCCTCTTAACTTCCGCTGGTAGCCCAAAGAAACGATGTGTCGCATCCTTAACACCATCAAGAACCTCAAGTGGGACTCCATGGTTAACCAATTGGAAGAACCCATACTTCTCTGCAGCATCACAAATGGACTCAGCAACTTTAGGGTTAGTATCCCAATTGGACATGTCAATAACAGGAATCCCAATTGGACATGTCAATAACAGGAATTGATTCATGAGGTATGATATTAATCAACGCTTCTTGTGGTTGAATATATTGCTTTGGAAGGCTTTTGAGACCCAAATCTGAAAGACCCTTCACTCCATTTCCTTTGTTAATCACAAAATCAGTCAGATCAAAGGAATCAGTGGACATTGTTGGAGCCATTTCTTCTTCAACTAGTTAAAAGAAAGTAATTGATTGAGGGAGAATAATAGCTCTTAATATTAGTATTTGAAGTAAGAAGAAAATGAAAATGGTAGAGGTGGTACTGGTGAGAATCAAAGTATTATCTATTGCTATTTATAGCTTCTCTTCATTGATGATTAAAACAAATGTGGACTGCTATGGTATTTCTTTACAATAAAAAAATTTAAAATAAGTACCTTACCTACCCATTTTGTTCACTTGCCTACCTTCTTCCAAGTTTTGTCTAATTAGGACCAATTTTTTATAAGACCAACTGCTTTCTTATTTTAAATCCCTCAGTGCACCACTAATTGTTTGACTGAGTTTGGGATATTTATAATGAATATAATTTTCGCATGTTAATATTATGGCCAAAATAATAATTTGTTATTACTATTTTATCATAGTTTTGTAAATCGTTAACAACAAATTAAGTAAATAAATATCTCCAATTTATTTTTTATTTGCATCTAAATATTAACCCATTTTTCATCTCAAATATATATATAAAATTTATACTATCTATGGCTAATAGAACTTGAGAATGTGCTTCTTAATATTTTATGTCCAGATAAAACGTTGTGCAGAGTAACATTTCATAAACAATTAAAAGAGTGTAATCATTAAACATTATCTTAAAAATTATTGTTGAGCAAATGCGAAATGCTATACATAAAATATAGTAATAAAAATAATAAAGAGCATCATTTAAATAGTGTTAAAATAAGTAATTTTCTCTTCTAAAAAAATAAATAGTATTCTATTTAATTGAAAAAATGTCATTTAGTTATTTGATGAAAATATTTTTTGGAATAACAATTTAAACAGTAATAACAAATAATTTAACATTCATAAATAGATAACGAGGGAAGTGTAAGGGCACAAAACTGGGGGCTATCCTCAAATTCAAACCCGGGTCGCTCTTTTACTCGCATAATAGAACGCCACTTTTGAATATAACATGATTAAGAAAAAAAAGAAGATAAAGATTAAAGAATGATTAAAAAATATATATTTGAAAATTTCTACTTTCTGATTAAAGCATAAACTTTTATTTTCCACACGTGATCCATGTATCTCGTCTTTATCCGCAGGAACCAGTTCGGTGGCTGCGCCAAGCATATCTTGTGTTGGGTCACCATCTTCTTCTTTGACGCCGCAATCATCCTTTTTTCTCAGTACTAAGAACACTTAAAACCTAGTTGTATCCAAATTTAATCAGAATAAATAGTTTCAGTCTGATTTTTAATAATATCTATTTAATCAAAATTCAATGGGAGATTGATGAAATATTAATATAACATTGAATCTACAGATGGAAAATGAGCTATTTTAAAAAATTTACAAAGGAAGATTATTAAATTACAACTAATTTTCGATATAACAATAAAATGGAAAATGAGTTATTTAAAAAATGTTTTCTATTAAAACATTTCCCTTAGATAATATTTTTCAAAAATGTCATTTTCCCAAAGCCAAAAAAAGTTCTTAAACACACAAGCAAACCCTATACTTTACATCAGTAGAGCTCTATTTGTCTCCATAAAATAATCTACAAAAAAAAAATATTTTCACAATTTATCGTTCTTTGGATTTTATTTTCAGAATTTTCCATTTTTTATGCACTTTAAAAAAATAATTCAACAAAATATATTCCTACCAAAACTAAGTCACTTTTGTGAAAAATGATTTCTCATTATAAAAAGAGAAAAATGATATTCTATTTTCAAGAGAGAAAAATAATTCATATTTTTTTAATTTATGAATCTCCATTAATCACTATCATCCACCGTTCATCACCACCACCGGTGATCTGACGATTTTCATAATTTACCATTTTTTTTATATTTTCCTCATTTTTATGGACTTATAGGTTAAAGATTTTAATATCTTTTAACTAATTTCATTACCATTTTTTTTACATTTTCCTCATATTTTTATGGACTTAAGGTTAAAGATTTTAATATCTTTTAACTAATTTCATTATTAAAGATTTTAATATCTTTTAACTAATTTCATTACCATTTTTTTTACATTTTCCTCATATTTTTATGGACTTAAGGTTAAAGATTTTAATATCTTTTAACTAATTTTTAATATTGCAAACAAAAAACGGAAAATAAAATTTTTTTAAAATTTTTTTTTGAAAAATAAGTTATTTCCTCAAAACAAATTTTAGAGAACTTGTCGCTTTTTCTGTACCAAATCAGAAATTTATGTATCGCCACAGATTTGAAATTTTCAGTTGATTACTATATCAGAAATCTGACAATTTTATTAAAATAATCTAATACCAGTTGAGAAACATCTTCAAAGGGTTTCAATTTAAAAAATTGAATAATTATATTTAATCACAATGTTCAAATCAGTGATTATCTCAATGATTCACAAGTGAAATCAAGCCAACTGCTATCCATTCTTGAACACAAACATGATGCTCCAAACAAGCTAAAAGGTAAGCATATATTCAGTAGCACATGAAGATCAATTTCCCATACTTACTAAGCACTCTCATGGCAGCAAACTATAATTCAGAATGTAATGCTAGCTAGAATGTCAAGATAATAACAAGTACAGAATAATAAAACAAGCTCTCAGCATTGGATGAAAAAGAGTTATCGGAAACACCTAGTAAAAATATGACACTACTATCAAAAAACCTTTAGTGGTGAGTATTTCACATCTCTCAACCACCTGTCTATGCAGCAACAGATGGCTTAGAAGCAGCAGAGAGCCTTGATCTCTTCTTTGCCAAGCTTTCACTACGGCGTTCTCGCTGTTCCTTCAATCTAGTGGCAAGAAGTTTCTGATATTCAGCTGCCTCTGCCTTGGCCTTTGCAATTCTCTTCTTTTTGTCTGCAATCCTAGCACGTTTCCGCTGAAGTGTCAATGGAGTCACAAGTCTTTGTATCTTTGGAGCTTTACTGACTTTCTTCCCTGCAAAGCAAACCAGAGAATATTGATTATACTTCACGTTTCAGTAAGTTACAACAAACAACCATCACCTTTCTTCCAACATTGCAGGACCCAACTATCTGCAACATCTAAAATTAACAAAAGAGAAGAAGGGATAAACAAACCCTGTAAGAGCCACCTATCCCCATTATTAACCAAGTAACACTCATTTTATACTTCTTTTCTGCCAAATTGCAAGACTTTTTTATGCAGCAATTTGCTGGTTTACAGAGGAAAAAGGCGCTCCATTAATTTGAATGAGTTCAACAAATTACACAAGCAATATTTTTACAAGGCTAATCGACCGAGTATTCAAATACAAATCATACTGTTACTGATGCATCCAAGGATAAATTTAAAATGGACACATGTTGGTGGAATTTCATAAGTGAAACAAATTGATAAACTTAAATCCTGAAACATAGTAAATGTAACTCTGATTAATCAAACTGAAGATTGTTGCAGTATAAAGAAACATCTCAGTTTGAAAGTTCTAGAATATTATAAATATGCTTCACATGCACAATAAATGATTGCGTACTCAAGTAAGAAGCTAGAAATGGATTTGTTTTTCAATTATTACTGGAGCTAGCTGCTAACCAGGCAGTTATTACATATATTATATGTATCCTAAAAATTTAAACATTTTCTGAAGTATGAGAGGAGGCATTTAAAGAAAAATCCGAACATTTAGTTAACTCTATAAAAGGATTCTCCATGACATATTTAATGAATATGCATTCATTTTGCAACCTAATACTTCAAAACGACTAACAATTTTTAACTCATTGTCAGATATTATGCAAACAATGGCTGGAGAATTATATATATATCTTAACAAAGAAATGTTACCAGATTTTGTTGTAAAGGTTCTACGGTATGTGTTGACATATTTGCGGACATCATCTTCCTTGGAAAGGTTAAAAAGCTTCCGGATCTTGGATGCCCTCTTTGGACCTCTCATCCTAGGTTTTTCAGTGTCAGTCAAACCGGGCAAATCATTTTCACCCTTCTTCACTATAACCAAGTTCAAAACAGAAAGGTCCTGACTAACAATACACCCGCGAACAGACTTTCTCCTGCGCTCACCATTCCGTCTTCCATATCCACGAAAACATGGGGTGCCTGTTCAAATAAACAGAAATAGAATTTATATCTTTAAGTCTCTACATTGAAATACATGCTTGACTAGACCCTTAAAGACCCATTCTAAGCACCAAAAAATTAGTATCCAAACTACATGGTGTTTGCTATCATAAAACAAGAACATTTCCTCAAAGAATAAGCCATTATGCAAAACCAAACAAGTAAATCACAGTCATTCCCAAGTAATTTTGGAGTTAATCACTAGAGTAGCATCATAACAACTACCAAACCTATTCAATACAATAAAACACTAACAGAATACTACAAGATGAGATTTTTACAATGAAAATAAACTTACTTAAAAGTGATTTTTACAGGGCACTAAATTGTTTTCAGTTTCCAATTTAACTAAACAGTAAATAAGCAATCTACCAACCTCTGTGTAGCAACAAACGGACACGACCAGGAGTGAGAACTCCCTGCTTCATGGGAAATCCTTGTTTGTCACACCCTCCCATGATTTTGAAAACATACCCTTTGAACTCCTATTCAAAATCAAAACTTTATGTAAAAAAATGAATAACATTCCAATAATCGAAACAAATTATAAAGAAAAATTGATATCAGTGTCATTACCTCACCCAACGCATCTCCACTGACCTCCTGTGAGATCCTCTTATCAAAAAATGCTCGACTGAATTCAAAAAAATGTCAATCAGTTAAAAATTAAAAAATTACGCTCTAAATTAAAAAGGAAAAAGAAAAACAGTTACAGTTTCTGATCGTCATCGATCTCGAGCTTCTTTTGGCATCCAGTAGTTGGATTTGCGATATTGAACTGTAGAAGGATCACATTACTATGAAATCACTTGAAGATGAAAATGAAACAAGATTTTGATAAATAAAAGCGTATGTTAAACGCAAACCTTCATTGCTGAATAACTCTAGCTCTTGCCGGAGGTGGCACTCTGCTCTGTAGATAAGGTAAGAGAGACAATTAGGGTTTACGTTTTGAAATTTATAGTCGAGGTATTTTGGGCCGGATCGGGTCGGCTAGTCTTACAGACACTTTCCTAATCGGATCTCAGGATTCGGGTCTTAGCATTGGTGTTGGGTGTATTCGGGATTGCGTTGCCCACGTAAAATATTCTTATCTTCCACCCTATTTACCTGATAGAGATCCTTTCTCCCTTTTATTAACTAGAAGTCTTAAATGTTTCATATTTATAAAAAATATAAAATTGAAATCAAACACAAAATATTCTATATTTATAGATTCTAGAGATGATTGATTTGAAATAATTTAGCCGTTACATTAACCACACTCTTTAATTTAACATATCCAATTACTTAAGAAATATGAATTTAGTCAAGTTTTATAAATTGAATTTAACCATGAAAAATACAAAATTGAACTCATTCTCTAGCTTTCTGCTTCCTAATTCTAATTGAAGTAGAAATCATGGTTGAAATGCAAATGTATTCTTGAAGGTCTCACAGGCTTTCTAATTGGCATGGGCTCATTTAAATTTGTATGTCCTTTGAATTTTTGAAGAATTCAATAAGTTGAGTGGAACACTAGAGCAACAGATCGAGTAAACTGCTGCCTTTGTTTCATTTCTAACGAGACCAAGTGATTCATATGGTGCAAGAAGCAAATGTCTTAGCAGAAAAAATAAAAAACTAAAGTTACCTTCTTTCAGAAACCTGGGCAATACCATGTTCCCAAAATGTTTGTCACAGACAAAAAACTATTATATAACAGTATTGAAAATCAGTAGATAAGAATGGTTGCTTAAGACACTATTTGTGCGTCCGATTATATGGTCAATGGCTGCAATATAAGTGCATTACATCACCGATTCCTTCTTGTTATCAAAAACAGGCCGATCTTTACTTCATTTATCAAAAAAGCCGATCTTTAATTCATCTTCAAGGATATCGGATAATACTCGCAAATAAATTATCCTTGGAAGGATATCTTTCAGCAAGCATTCTAGCTGCCACTAGTCCTGCTGCTAATGCTGCTCCAAATAAAGCATGTAATCTCACACAGTAATACTTTGCCATGAAAATCTTCCCTTTATCCTGTAGGAGTAAATTTCAATAATAAGGAAATGTCATAAACAAATTTGAAATGAAATAATTAAAGCTCACCTTGTGATTTTCTTCAACATATCTAACTACAAGATTTCCCATAGGTATTGTCAAGTCACATAGAAGCTGCATGAAATGATTATACAGTTAAAGAACAGATCATGAGATTGCAGGCTGAACAAATTAAGAAGAATGGTTATAGAGGGAAGGAATTTATGTGGACTTACTAAGCAAGTGAAAGGAAGAGCATTGCTTAGAACGAAAATGGACAAAAGAGAGTAGAGAGCCACTATTGCTACTTTCACTACAAGAGAACCTTTTTCTGTTCCAAGTCTAACCTGCATAGAAATAAAAAGTTCAAGGTTCTTGTTTATCAGGTATAACTTAACTCAATAAGTAAACAAATAAGGCTAAGTCAATAATACACACCAAAGGGGATATTTTTCCAACAGCTTTATCACCTTCTATCTGATGCAATCAGTTCATAGGAACACATCAAGATGACATACTAAAGGAATAAATCAGAAGAGAGAGAGAGAGAGAGAAGAAAAAAGAGAGATCTACCTGATGAAAGTGACTACAAAAGAGGATTAAAGATGTTGTGAGGCCAACAAGGAGTGATACAGAAAGAATTGTGCCTGTTAATGGCAGATAGGTCATATCACTGTCAAAACAAACAGAAACTAGCATTAGTAATGCTATAAAACTTGAATGAAAATCTGAAACGCAATTGAAGGCTTCAATGGTTAATAAATTAGACAACCTTGAACTGCCCAACAATAGGTAAAATCCTGTAGTAGCAAACGGACCAAATGCTGAAAAGCACAAGGGTTCACCCAATCCTTGGTAACTTAGCCGAAAAGGCGGGCACTGCACAGACACAATGCTCAGTTAGATAAAAAAATTTATGGCCTCACAGGTTTTTTTTAGAAGAATAGGCATATTTAAAAGAGAATGTGATTATCGTGCCATGTTTCAATTGAGATTCGCCAGCTTATATGACTTGAGATGACTCGAAAATATGAGATGCTACAGTAATTTTTAACAGATGGGAGTAATATTATCAAAATTAGCTTTAAGTACCTCAAAACAATAAAGACTTTCTGTACCTGATATATATAACCACAAATGACTGCACAAGCCAGCAATAATATTGCTTGCACATTGCCTGCCCCAAGAGATGTCCGTGTCAGCCCCAAGAAGCCAAGGGCAAGTGATAAGTACGCAGCAAAAAGGGTTCCTGAACGGCTGCCCACAGCCATAGCAGAGCATAATTAGCCAAATCTTATTTGCTTTCTTTCAAAAAATATAACTAAAATTAGCCAAAATCTTACTGCTTTCTTTCAAAAAATATCACTAAAAGTTAAGAGATTAAGACTCGGTTACCATGAACAGATGGTTAAACAACGTACCTGCCAACCAAGTTTACAACTGATTCTTTCTTGTTCTTATCTGCTCCCGTATCGAAATCATAAACATCGTTGCTGTCCAAGAAGCAAGTATAAGAAACTTAAAAACTTAAAAATAAACAATTTAAACATAATTCTGTCACAAAAACATACTTCATTTTGACAAAGATATACTGTTTACATTTAGCAAAGAAGCAGCAGCCTACAAGGTTAAGCCAGTTTAGGAATGTTGGACTGTAAACCACAATTTTTAAGATAGGGAAATGAAATTTACTAATGGCCAATATCATGCAAGATCCTTCGAGAATGAGATCTAGATACAAAAAAAAAAAAAAAAAACAAACCTTCGATGAATGGAGATCTACGATTGGCGAAGAGAAAAAACAGAAAAAAACAACATGAAAAAGAATTGGTGAAGAAACTATACAAATACAATTATTCTGAGCAGTCATCTAGCATTAAGGTGCATTTGTTGAGCTCTCTGAACAAAGAATTGAGTTTTGGCTTTGTCTCATAGATATTTTTCAAGGTTCCTAATTAAAAAAAAAAAAAAAAAAACAAATGAAAAAGAAAATTGAAGAAACTTTACCAAATAATTATTCTGAGAGTCATCTAGCTTAAGGTGCTTTTTAAGCTCTCTGAACAAGAATTGGTTGCTTCTTCTCTAGATATTTTTAAGGTCCTAAAATTATACTAATTGCCTAATTCAAATACTCAGATGGTTTATTATCTAGAGAATTGGATGGCACTTTTCATCGCTATTATATACCACCCTAAGGCAACTTTTAAGCCACACCAATTACAAGCAAAGATGGTTTAATATAGAAACGCAACAGCATTGTATGAATTCCTAGGAGTTTTCAATCTGTTAAGGAAAATTAAGCAGTTGAGTAGTTTTGTATCCTCAGTTAAGCTTGTCCATACACAACTTATCTTTGAAATTACTGTCCTGTAGCTAATGTACTAACTTTTATGTTTTCTAACATAACTAACCTTAAATTGAGCCAAGTTATAATAAGGATTGAAGAAGCCAAGAGCACAAAATAGCGTCTAGCTGAAAACACGCCTGTGTGCAAGTATGCTGCTGCACCACCCACCTATTTCCAAAAACCACAGAGAGTTAAAAGATATGAAGTTGCTAAAGGTAGCATATGACAAAATATCACTGCATGTACTAATCGTAGAACTCAAGTTTAAATCACTTACAGTGAGAGGAACCAAAGCAACAGAGTAAATTGGCAATTTGATTGCCCTCCATACCAAGGTTACTTTCGCGATATCTTCCTCTTTTCCTCCTTCATTTGCATTAGTAGTGTAGTGACTTGTACTCTCACAAAAAATCTGTCCACATTGTCTTTGTCTCTTGACTTCTAGCTGTCTTTTACCGAAAATTTGTTGTGGGGTATGACAAAACTGGGATGATCTTTTAAAAGCATTTAGAAAAAGGAGTCCATGATGAGACCTGAGAATTAAACAAATGTAATCCACAAAATCAATTGCCAAAGAACCACTCATCCTAAAAGGTTAATGGGTTTTGATATCTCCAAATAAAACATGCAATAGAAATATTAAACACATTTTAGCTCTAACCTAGCCACAAAAACAATACTTGTCATTAAATTTTCATTTTCATTAACAGAAGTGAAGCGAAATTATAACACAAACACAATTATTAGAGTGTTACTGAATGAAGGACATTTCTTGTCATGTTAAATAACTCTGCTTTATAAAAGGTCCATGGAGTTTCTTTTGACCATACCCCAAGTTGGTGTTACAGAATGCAGCAGCCATATTTGCATTACTAAGATCTGCAAAGAAAGGAAAAACTTATACTTTCAATCCAGAATGCAATTTTTTTATCAAATTCTTGAAGCATAAAATAGACATACCACGAAGGCTTACTATTCTTGCTTATGCCTCTCTCTAGCACTCTCTATTTGTAAGCCAAGAAGGCGTAAGATGGTAACCGACTAACTGTAAAAGCTTTAACATTTCCTGAGTTGTGATAATTTAAGACAACAACCAAAAAAAAGGTTCACTGTAGCTGACACAGAGGAGAAGGAGAGTGGTACGAGTCACCAGCAAGACGCTACGATGTGAGCAAAGGGATTAGGATATTTTGCCAAGGTGGGTCCTACTTGTTTGTAGGAGGGGTCTCTTAGCCCACCAGAGCCCAGTAGGATTTGAATTTGATTGGGCTTAAGTTTAGTTGAAAATGGCGGAGCCCATTTAGGACTCCTCCATTGAGTTCACCAATTGGTTTTCAACGGATGGAATTGGATACTTGGATCAATTGGTATATTCAGGGAATAAAGTGAGTTACCCATTTTAATTTAATTTTAATTTTATTATTATGGCTACACAACATATATACTTTTCCTCCTGACTTACCAAATTGGCGAAAGTAGTTATGGTAAAGAGATATGATAGATGAGACTTTTTACTTCTCACATTAACTGGAATATCAATATTAATAAAATAAAAAAAAAATCATATTATCTACACTCTAATCGCGTGAATTGAAATTGAGGTGTTAAGGTGAACCAATCTCTCGAGTAATTCTCATCCATAGTAAAAAATTATTGGAAGCTTAAATAATATCACTAACAAATAATATAATCGTCGGCCAATAATCAAATAGCGATCTCTGCTATGTTATTGTCTATCAAGCAATTGCCACATTTTTGTCGTTCTTGAATCCTTTGGCTGTTTTTGTTTTTTTGGTTTTTTTTTTTTTTTCTAGCCTTTTCGGCCTCATAATATGATGATGAACAATAGACACTTGGATTAACAGTAATTGACTGAATTCTAATATCAACTTTACTTATAAATTAAAAATTGAAAATTGAAAATTAAAAACAGAAACATTGAAACATATGTTTTTTTTTTTTAAAAAAAAAAAAAAGTGAATTAACTCTTGCAATTATAATTATGCAGATAGATAAAGTAAACAGAAAAATCACAAGCCAATTGAATAAAGTTGTGCAGTGCATGTGAATGGTCATTGGTTAATATTTAATTAATTGTCATTAAAACGATCAAATTAAAATTAAAATTAGGAATGTAACGGATGATTGGCTAATAAAAATATTTGATGGTCAAACTTCATGTGATTCTGGGGAATAGCTTACAATTTCTCTCTCTCTCTCTCTCTCTCTCTCTCTCTGAACAGTAAGTTGTCCTTGCATAAATACTATATAACATACACTGAGTCTGCACTTTTGAAAATCTGTGTTTCTCTTTCTTTCTCGAAGTCATATATCTCACAATCAAATATTTTTCATGGCTTCTTCTCCTGGTTTTTATCGACTAGAAATGGATCACCATGAAAACGACAACAATGTTCTTATGTCGTCTCTAGATGCTGAAACTGTAGAGTGTTCACTAGACATGGAAAATGGACATGCAAGTATTAGCAAGTTTTGGGATGATAGAAATGATGTTTTCCTGACATGGGAAGATCTTGGGGTGTCAGTTCCAAGTAGAAAACATGGCTGCAAATGTATACTTGAAGGTCTAACAGGATTTGCCCAACCTGGAGAAATCTTGGCAGTCATGGGTCCTTCTGGCTCTGGCAAAACTTCTCTTCTTGATGCTTTGGCTGGTAAGAAATATATATCTGTTTTGAGAAATCTTTGGCAGTCATGGGGTCCTTGTCTGGCTCTGGCAAAACTTATCTTTCTTGATGTCTTTGGGCTGGTAAGAAATATATTATATATATATTTATATATATATATACATATCATCACCTACAATATGATTCTTTCAAGCAATTTCAAGTTGGGTACTGTTCATTATTTATTATTTTAAGGTTCGCACTTATATATAATACAACAATGTCCCGTTTGTCTTTGGGTGAATCGTTAATATTTTATAAGGAAAAATGATTATCCTTTGGAGCTTTTTTTATTAGCAGACAAATATATATATACATATCATCACCTACAATATGATTCTTTCAGCAATTTCAATTGGTACTTTCATTATTATTATTTAGGTTCCCACTTATATATAATCATCACAATGTCCCTCGTTTGTCTTTGGTGAATCGAATATTTTATAAGGAAAAAATGATTATCCTTTGAGCTTTTTTATTAGCAGACAAATACTGGAAAACTATACTGTATATTTTTGTTGTTTTATGAATGTAATTATAAATAATTTCTAGTTAATCAAATGGTACAAAAAAATGTGATAGAAGAAGCCTCGTGACAGTGTACGGTTCACGAGATTGTAACGTACATAGTCCTGCATTCTGAAAACTTAATTTTATTTAAATTAATATTCATTTTTTGAATCGAAGCTTAACTGAAATTAGGGTGTCAAAATAGGTAAAGGGACCACAATGGGTTATAAATGGGTTGATCTCATAAACGTATCACCCATATATAATACGAGTTTAAATGGATCATGTCACAGGTCAATTCATTTAATCCGTTTAACTGGTTTATTTAATGATAAATATATATATATATTAAACAGGTTATGCGGATTATATATGTAGTGTTTCTGACTCGTACACAATTCATTTTAGTTAAATTTGATTGAATTTTTTGATTCATATACAACCCATTAATTAAACGAGTTACATGTGTTATATTCGTGTCATTAGTTTACTTTTCGTGTCATATACACGCAATACATCAATCCATTTTGACGCATCTAACTCAGATTAATTATCTATTCCCTGCAGGGAGATTGGATTCCAACACCAAGCAGATAGGACAAGTTATGATCAATGGCCATAAACAGCCTTTAGCCTATGGCACGTCGGTATGTATACATTGCATTACGTTTCGTTACGATTCACTCAAAATAGCCTAAATATATTAATGATTCCACCTAAACAAACTGCTTAATTTCCTCATTTTAATGTGTTAACTGGTTCTCTTCTTAACACAGGCTTATGTAGCTCAAGATGATGTAATAACATGGACACTAACAGTTGGAGAAGCTGTGTACTACTCAGCTCAGCTTCAGCTACCCAATTCAATGTCAATGGCAGAGAAAAAGGAAAGAGCAGAAATAACTATAAAAGAGATGGGTTTACAAGACTCCATGGACACAACAATAGGAGGTTGGGGCAGCAAAGGCCTTAGTGGTGGTCAAAAAAGAAGAGTGAGCATTTGTATTGAGATTTTAACAAGGCCTAAGCTTCTTTTTCTCGATGAACCAACAAGTGGGCTTGATAGTGCAGCTTCCTATTATGTAATGAAAAAATTGGCATATCTTGCTAAACAGCATAGAATGACAATTATAGCTTCCATCCATCAACCTGGCAGTGAAGTCTTTCAATTCTTTCGCAATCTATGCCTTCTCTCTTCTGGAAGAACAATATATTTTGGGCCCTCAACTGCAGCAAGTAAGGTAATATAAATAAATTTTATAAGATTTTATGAAATCTAATAAAATTAAATTAATTTCCATTATTTACGAGTAAAATTTTTTATTTCGAATTCATTTATATCAAAACAAGATCGAATGGTTTCATATATATTAGCATGCTTAATTATATATTTCTTTCATGATTTGTAGTTTTTTGAAATGAACGGTTTTCCTATCCCAAGTCATCAAAATCCATCCGACCATTATTTAAGAACGATTAATTCAGATTTCTACGAGGTATTTGCTTAAATATTAGTTAAAGTTACATTTTTTATATATAATTTCTCATGTTTGGTGGGAAAAATGTAAGAAATTAATCCCAATTGCCTATATTTCTTTACTGGACATTTATTAATGTTACTGATCGTAGTACATTTTGAATGTCCAGTTGTGCTTCTTTGCCTACTAATGTAACTAGTTTATGTTGCTAGGACATGGAACGAGGTTTTAGTGAAAAGAAAAACAGAGAGGAAGTGATCAACTTGCTTGTCAGATCTTATAAATCATCTGTTACTTGCGAGCAAATTCGAAGTCGAATAGGGGAAATATGCAGCCAGGTGAGTACCCTTAATAGACTCATTAATTAAGGTTAAGTTCAGTATAATATACTTGAAGGTAATATAACTCAAGAAGATTGAATTTTACTTAGGAGAGAGCAGAATTAAGCGAAGGAAGGCACTCTAACTTCATCATGCAGTGCCTTGTTTTGTCGAGAAGGTCTTTTGTGAACATGTATCGTGATCTGGGCTATTACTGGCTTCGTCTGGCTATTTATATCATGTTAGGTTTAGGCCTGGGCTCAGTTTTCTACAGCATTGGCTCTGGCTATAGTTCAATACAAGTGAGTATTCAGTATCACTATATATGCTTCTTGTTAATTTCTTTCCAAGAATTCTATTAATTAGCCTTGTTAGGGAAGATGCTGTGAGTGTAGAAGGAAATTTCAAAATCTTCCATTTGCATCAATTTTGTATGTGTTTTTTCATGGTGGTGCAAATTGATTATTGTTGTTATATGGCCATTTTAGGCAAGAGGATCATTGCTTATGTTCATTGCTTCCTTGTTGACCATTATGGCCATTGGAGGTTTCCCTTCATTTGTGGAGGACATGAAGGTTAGTTTACAATTTTACTTCCTATATCAAATTTAAAAGATAAATCTCAAGAACTATTCTCATAGATAACAACGTCCTACAATTTCTTTTTAATTATGAGGCTCTATTTGATAAAATTAGTTATTTTGGTAGTTGTTAGCTGTTTTAGTAGCTAATAGCTTTTCATATAATGCTAAAAGATAAATGTTATATAGGGGTTAACCTTTTATAATATATTACTTTTAACCTCTAAAATAACTAGTTCAACACTATGTCACTTAATATTATAAAAAATAGCGTCAAAACGCTAAAAGTTGTAAACATGACCTGAGACTTGTTATTGTTAATAGTTTTTTGCACATCAATTTCCTATGATAAATGCCAATAATTTCTTCTTTTTGTAGGTGTTTCAAAGGGAAAGATTAAACGGGCATTACCATTCAAGTGCATTTGTTGTTAGCAACACACTTGCATCAGCACCTTACTTGCTTCTAATATCCATAATTCCAGGAGCAATTACATACTATCTTGTCGGTCTCCAACAAGAAAGTGCACACTTCATCTATTTTGCTTTAACACTTTTTGCTTGTATGATGTTAGTAGAAGGCCTAATGCTAATTGTGGCAAGCATTGTTCCAAATTTCCTCATGGGTTTAATCACCGGCGCCGGAATTCAAGGCCTAATGATGCTAAGTGGTGGATTTTTCCGGTTACCTGGAGACCTTCCTAGAATATTATGGAAATACCCTTTGTATTACATTGCCTTCCATAAGTATGCATATCAAGGACTATACAAAAATGAATTTGAAGGGCTAATATTCCCAAGTGATCATCATGGAGGGCCTCCTTACATAAATGGTGAAGAAATTTTGAGGGAGATATGGCAAGTTGAAATGGGTTATTCTAAATGGATTGATCTTGTTATATTGTTTGGTATGGTTTTTGTATATAGGGTTTTGTTGTTGTTTGTTCTTGAGATTATAGAAAAGTTTAAGCCTTTAGTTAGAGAAATTAAGTTTGTTTCTTTCAGACAATCAAAGAAAGAACTAACCAATGCACATGGTAATAATAAGCCACTGGATGATGCTAGATAGCAATGTTGTAATGTCGTTTTGACGAAAGATTAAAGAGAGGGTTTTCATGCATTCTTTTAATGTATAAATGCTCAATTTGATATCTAAATTTTTATGGAATGTTCAATTTGGTCCGAAGTCAATTTTTGAATCAATTATCTCATTATTGGTAAAAAAAAATGTAATTTTAGTAAAATGAATAAAAAATAATATCTTAAAACTATTGAAACTATGTACATATTTGATTGCATAACTCAAAAATAGTTAAAGAAAGTTTTTTCTTAAATACTTTTTAAAGAAAATAAATTAAAGTGATAAATGAAAACCGTAATTAGAATAAATATATTATCTGAACACTTTCGATGGATAAATGTATAACATTAAGAGGATTTACATATATATACAAAACCTTGAAATTTTATATGATGTCAAAAATACTCCAATTTTTAAAATTAGATCAACATTGAATAATTAAAAAATATAATAATTATTATTTCGAAAATTATCCTAATCATCGAATTTATATTGATTATATTTTGTTTTTGTTTTTTATAGTGATTTTCCACATACTTATCCAAGAAAATGGAAGGAAATAGTAATAAAGTGAGATCATAAAGGAAATTGATCTTTCAATTTTAATCCACCAGAAAAAATAATTATTAATTAGCATGATTAATCATTTAATTTAACTTATTAGGCACTTTTGTCCCATAAGAAATTTGTTCACATAAATGTTATTTTAGTCAAGTTTATTTGCATAAAAGGTTATTTTAATACTATCACATAAAAAGTTTATTGAATCCCCAAATAAAACGACTGAACATCCTTTTAAGAAGTTAATTCTTAATAATTATGCTACATCTTAGCAATTTCACAATAATTTTTTAATTATCACACATTAAACCTCTCATTAATTTGAAGGATTTGAAATTTAAATGAAATTATTGGGAGTTTCATTATTTAATTTCTAAATACTTAACACGAATGTGACCTGATGATGAATATGAAAATTAATTTTCATAATATGCATTTATTAAATTATTAATGATCAAAGGTGAAGAAATTCTAAGAGATGTTTGGCAAGTGGAATTAGGGTATTCCAAATAGGTAGTTGTTGTATCTTGCTTGGAATGACTTTTTCTATAGAGTTTTATTCTTGATTACTGTCTCTATCCCAAAATATAAGTCGTTTTTAGGTGATTATTTTGTCTCAAAATATAAGTTGTTTTGAATATTTTAAGGAGATTAAATACATAAATGCTTTCACAAGTAATTATCACTGCCTCTATTCCGTAACACATGTCACATTTGAAATTTTACGTTCTTTAAGAAAATCATTAAATTTGTTTAAGTTACAATAAATTATTGAATAAATTGATTATATTACCCTTAATTTAATTTTTAAGGAAGAATTAGAAATACATAAGAATGCTTTTTCAACAAGTTAAATTAAATCACTGCATCTATTCGTAAACACCAATGTCATAGTGGCCTTTGACAATTTTACGTTCTTTAGTTAACAGAAAAATCATTAAATTGTTGTTTTAAGTTTACAATAAAATTATTGAATAAATTTGATTATATTACCCTTAATTTAATATTAAATGTCTTCTAAGAAACTTAATAATTGAAGTAATAATTAATTGATCATAATAAATAAAGGGTAAATATGGAAAAGAAGAAAAAATATTTTATTTACTCTTAAAACACAAATGTGATAAGTATTTTGAAATAAAATTATTTTCTACAAATGTGACAATTAATTGATGGATCAAGAATGCTACTTAGTTTTTTGAGATAAAAGAATAATTTCGATCAAAATTTACCCCTTGCATTTTTGTTCTTCTAGGAAGAGATTAATTCTTTCTTACTTTTATGTAAACTGCCGCTTAAAGAACTTATTATTTTAGAACAAATGGAGTAATATATTTTCAAAATTAGTGGAGAATTTATTAAGTCTATTTGTTAGTTTTGCATTATATTACCCTTAATTTAATATTAATTCTCTAAGAAAACCATTAAATTGAAGTAATAATTATTGATCATATATAAAGGGTAAATATGGAAAAAAAAATATTTATTACTCCTTAAAACCACAAATGTGATAAGTATTTTGAAATAAATTATTTTCTCAAATGTGACAATTATTATGGATCAGATGTACTAGTTTTGAGATAAAAGATAATTTGATCAAATTACCCTTAATTTTGTTCTAATCTAGGAGAATTAATTCTTTCCTTACTTTTTATGTAAATGCCTTAAAGAACTTATATTTTAGAACAAATGGAGTAATTATTTTCAAAATTAGTGAAATTATTAAGTCTATTGTTAGTTGGCTCTTTATCAAGGGAGTTGGCACAGCCTATGAATCTTAATTACAAAATGAAAAACATATGTGAATAATGTTCAACGGAAATAAATATGTGGATACTTTTACAACCGAAGACGTAGCCATTGATGGTATTCCTTGATTGACGCCTCAAAAATCTTGCACAGCCACAAAATATGTGTGTGGATGAGGATGACCGATCGGAAATAATTTGAGTCGAAACACTCACATCTCTCGATTAAGAAGTCAAGGGTTTCATTGCTCTTAATGGAGAAAATTTTTGTTGGAAACCTATTTTCCTTATAGGTCTAATACAGCACGAGCAGAATTAGATTTAGTCTAATAAGTCGGTTTTGGTTTCAAACTACCTCTTTCAGTTATAAGAAAGATGAAACCAAATCGAACCGGTTTTAGACAGTGTCTAAAATGGTTTTAAAACTGTCGGATATAGTTTTGTTCTGGTTTGAAACTGAAATTAGATTATTTATTTCAATTTTTTTTAATTCTTTTTTAGATTTGTAGATTGAATAAATAATAGTAATAAATGTTACTATTGAAAAATACTAAATCAATTTAATAAAAATACTTCAAATTTATTTTAAAAAATTATACTAATAAAATAAAAAAGTAAATTTTGAGTTTCCTTAAAAATATGTTTTTCACGGTTTCAAACTAGAATCGCCAATTTCGATTTCAATGAAAAATTGAAACCGAACCTTAAACACAATTTTGATTACAACGTGGAATTAGGAACTGTTGATCAAGATTTAGTGTTGGTTTTAACCGATTAAATTTCAATTCAGTTTTGATTTAAAATCGAACCATGGCACTTTTCACAATTTATTGAAATATATAAATAAATTGACTTGAAAACATACATCAATTTTAATAAAGAAAATGAAATAATAATAGATAAAGTTTGTTCAATATATGGTGGAAGGAGGGAAGAAATCTCCCATTCCCATTTCATCTTTCAGGGAATTAATTACGATAGAGATGTACACCGTCTAGGAGTTGAACAAAATACTTCAACTAACCCGTCAGACTTCAGACAAACTCGTGAAGAACGTGTTTTTTTGTTTTTTCTTAAGTTTCATGTTTTTTCAGAGAGACTCTCAAGCACGAGCCACACGATTTCTGCTTTTACACATTATATATATATAATTTATAATTCTATCAATTGATACTTTTTTCAGTTTATTTTTCAAAATAATTGTAGCATATATATCATGTATATATGATGACTGTCTAAAAATTAGACATGGCTATTAAAATTAACAATGTAAGTCTCTACATGTGCTTGATTGGAAAATTTACTAACATTTCAAACAAAAAAATATATATAGTTTTTTTGCAATCGAATTTTAAAAACTCAAAGCTATGAATTAGCATAACTAACTAGAAAGGCTGAATTTTTTTTTTTTATTACTTGTTAGTGGATTTGCTTGTCAAAGCTGACGTATCATGTACAAGCGCTCACACCGTCAGTTTAACAATTATATACCTCGAATTTGAATGATAATCACGTGCTATCATATTGTGTCGTCCGCAGTATTATTTCAGAGTGTTATTTCAGTTATAAAAATGATGAATTAAAAGATACAACATCATTAATATTTTATAAAAACTACTTTATTTTTACTTGAATTTACGGGACGTCATTATAGAAACCACCGGATTCACAAGCTCATTGACCCCTATAAATGCTACCCTACCCAATACAAACCAACACTCTCTCCCACAGAACTAAAACACAAAAACACACATATGATGGCTTCTCTTCAGACAAACCAAGAAATAGTGACTGCATTAGAAATGGAAACCATCAATAACAGAAGAGGAGGTGTCACTGATGGTGTTTCCTTGACATGGGAAGATCTGTGGGTGACTGTTTCATGCGGGAAAAAAAGCAGTAAGGCAATCCTTCAAGGGGTAACTGGCTGTGCTCAGCCTGGACAGTTATTGGCTATAATGGGTCCTTCTGGTTGTGGCAAGTCTACTCTTCTTGATGCATTAGCAGGTGGAAACAGTTCTTTTCTTCCTTCTTTCCTTCTTTCTTTTTTTTCAAGAATCCCAAACAAATTCTTGAAAGAGTTCAGTTAACCAGAAAATTAGTAACATATGTAGAAAATAGTGGATTTGCTTGAAATTCTGTTACATTGGAAAACAGTTTGAAAACTGCTTCTACGATAAAAATACAAAATCTTAAATATAAATCAATATTTTTTCATATAAATAGTGGTTTTTCAACCATCTCTGGAGCCTGCAAATTTGGGATGTTTCGTTCCTTTGATCACCTTTTATATCATTTTCTCAATAATTGCTTTGCTGTACATAAACATATCTTTGCCAACATATAGTTACTCAAAGGTGACTCCATTTGCCTGTTTAGTGTATTTAAAAAACTCAAATTTTTACAGCATTTATTTTAACACTTTCGACAGAATAAGATTGTTATGTAGCTAGTTCCCATTTTCATCAAGATTTGACTTAAAAGGATAGATATAACTTCATAAGGAATGCAATGGCCACCACAGAAATAAATTAACATAATTTTGTTTCCTTTGGAAAAAAGAACATCAAACAAATCCAGCAAATATCATTTTTGGACTTCCATTATTAATTAATTTGCCCTTCATTTGGATTTATTTTTTGAATGCTTTGGGACACTATATGATTTAAATTGAATTTTTTTTAATTTCTTAGTAATTTAATTATAAAATACATATTTGCTGCAGGAAGACTAAGTTCAAGTACAAAACAAACAGGAGATATTCTAATCAACGGTCATAAAGAAAGGCTGGCTTATGGCACATCAGTAAGAAGCTTTTTTTTTTTTTTTTTTCAAATAAAAATGGAAGAAATTAAAAGAAAAACATCTAAACTTTTTAGCGAGGGTATTCAAGAATAATCACCTTGTCTTACAATTGAAAGCTCAATTCCATCTTGACTAATTGGAAGTTACTGTCAACTAGGCAGTGGCGGATATATATTATAGAAACAGGGTCGATTGACTCCTCTTTTTTCGCAATTTCTTTTTGATATACATGTATTTTTTTTTTTCAATTGATCCCTCTTAAAATTTCGAATAAACTTTCTTTATTATAGTTTATTATATATTGACTCCGGAAAATTTTTTTCCTGGATCGGCCATTGCAACTAGGCATATGTAACTCAAGATGACACCTTGATCACAACATTAACTGTAAAAGAAGCTGTTTACTACTCAGCTCAGCTTCAATTGCCAGACTCAATGTCAAAGAAAGAAAAGAAAGAAAGAGCAGAAAGGACAATAAGAGAAATGGGTTTACAAGATTCAGTCAACACAAGAATTGGAGGTTGGGGAGCTAAAGGCCTAAGTGGTGGACAAAAGAGGAGAGTTAGCATTTGCATTGAGATTTTAACACACCCTAAACTTCTCTTTCTTGATGAGCCCACAAGTGGCCTTGACAGTGCAGCTTCTTATTATGTTATGAGCAGAATTGCTACTTTGGAGCAAAAAGATGGGATTAGAAGAACTATAATTGCATCTATTCATCAACCTAGTACTGAAGTGTTTGAACTTTTTAATACTCTTTGTCTCCTTTCTTCTGGTAAAGTTGTCTATTTTGGCCCTGCTTCTGCTGCTAATCAGGTAAATATATAGTTTATATTAGTTGCAGAATTTAGTTAGTCAATGAATTTAAATTTTAAATATTAACTAACTTTTTGTTTTTTGTTTTTGCATCAAATACACAGTTCTTTGCTTTGAATGGGTTCCCTTGCCCTACTCTACGCAACCCTTCCGATCATTTCTTGAAAACCATAAACAAAGATTTTGAAAAGGTATATATATTATTCACTCTTTTAAGTATTTGGTTTTATTTTAGGCCAAGTGTTTATATATATATATATATATATAATTTGTGAGACTAATTTGGTTTGGTTTTATAGTTTGAACTAAATGTGAACCGACTCAAACCCTGATTTGGTTATTTTGAACTATTCAGAATCAAAATTCATATTGTTAACTAACCAAGCTAAATCGAATAAAACCAATATACAAGTGATATATTAGTTTCCATATATGTTTCCACGTTTGAACTGGGGTAATATTTAAGTAAAATCTTTTCAACAATAGTGTTGATTTTAAATTTCAAACCCTTAATCTTGCAAGTAAAGTTCGTCTTGACGATAGAATTGAAAAAGATAACATTTTTTGTGAGACAGACTATTAGCAAAATCTCAATATTGGACGTCTAAATCTCAATATTGTATCCTGAGCCTGAGTACTATATTATCTTAAAACTAAACTCTTAGGATACTTAAGAACGGTGATTGATTGTGTTTTGTACAAAATTAACAGGATCCTGAAGAAGGTTTAGGAGGTGCAATGACCACAGAGGAAGCAATCACTATTCTTACAAAGTCATACAAATCATCCAACAATTGTCAAGAAGTTCGAAGGCAAGTAGCCGAAATATGTAAACATAAACAAGTGAGTACGTAGTGAACAAGGTTTTTTATCTACAAACCAAAAACAACCTTATTTATGTAAGAAAGAAACGAAGATTGAAAATGAAATGGATATTGCAGGATTTTGGAGCATTGGAAAAGAAAAGACAGCGTGCTAGCTTCTTCATTCAATGTGTCGTTCTTACAAAAAGATCATCTATAAACATGTTTCGTGATCTGGGTTATTACTGGCTGCGTCTTGCTATTTATATTGCCCTAGCTATTGGCCTTGCCACTCTTTTTTCTCACCTTGGATTTAGTTATAACTCCATTAAGGTAATAAGATACAAAATATAGGATATGGACAATAACAATATATGAAATTGGCTTAATGATTGGTTAATTTATTTTTGTTCTGTCAAATCAAATATTTCAGGATAGATGCTCATTGTTGGCGTTTATAGCTTCTTTCTTAACGTTCATGACCATTGGTGGATTCCCTTCTTTTGTGGAGGACATGAAGGTATACGCTGATCTTTTTCAATTTTAGGCTCCATTTGATTTAATAAAATAACTTGCAGAAAAATATTTTTTATAATTTTCTGTTGTTTGGGGCGTTAAGGAAAATAAGTCAACGGACAATATTTTTCTGATCAAAGGAAAATTAAGTCATTTTTTAAGGAAAACAATTTTCCATTTTCGAGAGAAAAATATTTTCTGGATATTGGTAAACCTTATAAATCTATATTTTTTAATTTATTAATCATTATAGTCACTACCACCAGTCACCATTTGCCACCGACCACCACCACCGGCCACCAGCGACTTTTATAATTTACATTTTTTTGTATTTTTTTCATATTTAAGAATAAAATTTTTAAATTATAAAATTTCTATTATTGTTAATATTTTTTATGGTCTTATGAGATAAAGATTTTAATATTTTTCGACTTTTATAATTTACATTTTTTTTGTATTTTTTTCCATATTTTAAAGGAATAAAATTACTAAATTATAAAATTCTATTATTGTTAATATTTTTATCGGTCTTATGAGATAAAGATTTTTAATATTTTTAACTAATTTTCAACATATTACAAACCAAACAACAAAAATAGTGTTTTAGCGTTTTTACTACTTAAAAAAATTATAGCCGCAACATAACCTGTTAAATGCAATAGTCAATCGGAAAAAAAAAAAAAATACTAATTCAAGATTCTTCTCTTATGCAATGCAGGTATTTTCATAAGGAAACGTTAAATGGGCATTAGGAACCATCCTGCAATTTGTTAAGTATTGGCAAACACTTTTTCTGGAATACCATATTTGATAAAATTTCTATTATTGTTAATATTTTTTATGGTCTTATGAGATAAAGATTTTAATATTTTTAACTAATTTTCAATATTACAACCAAACAACGAAAAATAGTGTTTAGCGTTTTTACTACTTAAAAAATTATAGCCGAACATACCTGTAATGCAATAGTCAATGGAAAAAAAAAAAAATACTAATTCAAGATTCTTTCTCTTATGCAATGCAGGTATTTCAAAGGGAAACGTTAAATGGGCATTATGGAACCATTGCATTTGTAGTTGGCAACACTTTTTCTGGAATACCATATTTGGTACTAATATCACTAATTCCAGGAGCAGTAACTTATTATCTTCCTGGACTACAAAGGGGAATTGAACACTTCATATTCTTCATTTTAGCAATATTAGCATGTCTGATGCTAGTTGAAAGCTTAATGATGATTGTGGCAGGTCTTGTGCCCAATTTTCTAATGGGTATAATAACTGGAGCAGGGCTTCAAGGACTAATGATGTTAGCTGGTGGGTTTTTCAGGTTACCTAATGACCTTCCAATACCATTTTGGAAATACCCAATGTATTATATTGCTTTCCATAGATATGCATACCAAGGTTTGTTTAAAAATGAATTTGAAGGGCTAAAATTTGCAAATTATATATCAGGAGGGCCAAAGATGATAAGTGGTGAAGAGATTTTGAGAGATGATTGGCAAGTGGAATTGAGTTATTCTAAATGGGTTGATCTTGCCATTTTGTTTGGAATGGTTGTTTTATATAGGGTTTTGTTTTTGGTTATTATAAAGATTAAGGAGAAGGTTAAGCCTTTGATTAGTGATTTTATGTCAGTGCCTCCTAAGCAAACAATACAAGTTATGGAGAATCCTATGGCTACACCTTTACATGTGGAGATTTTGTAGAATTAGCATATGAGTTTTATTACTATGTAATTGTAATTGTACAAGGTACAATGTACGAGGATGAATTTTGTTTGCTTCTTGTGTCTTTTTTCAATGTCATAATATGTTTATAAAGTTTCTAAACTTCAATTTTAGTATATTGAAGCCATCTAAATAAAAATTTAGTAATATAAGTTGTTTTTATTTTCAAATAAAAATATCAAGTAAGAATTTCAATCTTATAAATTTAAATAATTAAGTTAAATGCATTATTTCACCGTAAAGTCTCCTATCATCTCCGTTTCTTATTAAATTCTCATAAAAAGAAAAGAAAGAAAGATTTTTTAGGCTTAAATCCTTATCAATTTTTTTTAATTGATAAGACACGTAATTCATATATTTAAATTTCATTTAAAATTGATTAGAATTTTAATTGAAGATTTCCCCTAAAAGAAATTGAAGACCACACTAAAATTAATTAATTAAATTTGTATTTTTTGTTAAAAAAATAAAAGTTATGCTACAATTGAAAAATATGTTAAAAATATAATATTTTTTAATGTAATAATATATTTAACATTATAACATCTTTTCTAATTCAATTTTATGTCCAAAAATATCAACCCTATATGTAATAAAAACAGAAAGATCATAGATTTTGTTATTTGGTATCGCTACCATCAGGGACAGAGAGAGAAACAGAGAAAAAATGGAGGCAGAGGATACGCTCATGGCTGGGACAGATGACAACGAAGCTGTACCGGTTATTTCTATGAGCCTTCACTTTCCTTCTGTTTCTTTCATTCTTTTCTTGGATCTTTCTTGTCCTGATATTATGTGCTGCCTAAATTTCCCATTGTTCAATTCACATGAAACCCTAATTTGGGTGTTTTTCCTTTTATTTTGTTCTCCTCTGTAATCAATTGCAGGAGCTCGATGACATGAAGAAGAGATTGAAAGAAATGGAGGATGAAGCTGCTGCTCTGCGGGAGATGCAAGCCAAAGTCGAGAAGGAGATGGGTTCTGCGCAAGGTACCATTTATACAATTTTTTTCAAGAATATTTATGTTTATGTTTATATGCAAATGTATTATTGAGAGTAGGTAAATGAAATAATTGATTCAATGCGTTCATTATTTCTATACGTTTTCATTTTGTTCTTTTTTTGGTTGCGAGATTGTATATTTCTAGTTATTTGTATCTCTGAAGTTGTACATCCATTATGTCAAATGCATATTAAGGTTCTATTTTAAGTTATTCAATCTGTAAAGATTTTGATCGTGTTTGATTGCTTCATAAAATTGTATGTGTTGAAAATTAAGGCATTTTTGTTATGACAGTTTTTGGTTAGTTAGAACCAGGCTAGATCTTGCCATGATTGATGAGTTTATAATGGATACTAGAAGAATTGATTTACCTTTATGGTGTGGTTTGTGTATAGATGATGAACTCATTAGTTTCTTTTTCCACATGTGATTGGAATCTTGAATGAGATTTGTTCATTGGGAATTTAGGAAGGATGAAATTTCAGAGGAATGTAATGTAATAAAGTTTAGAGCTCCTATTTAAAAATAAAAATACGTGTTACATTTTTTAGTTTCTCTTCTGCAGTTGTAACTTGATCATATTTGAGATGTAGAATTCTATTCATTCGCAAATTTGTAAGAATTTCCATAGGGATGAGAATCTTTATAGATTTGAATCAGTAGGTGATCGACAGGATTGTATTTGTTATTCCTTCCAAGCACTTTCAGTGACTAAAATTGTTATTCTATGTGTTTAGCAGTGACAATGCAACCACCTAACATGCTTCAACAATATTTTGTTATTAATATAAGTTGATGAGATTGTGAATGAACGCTGCAATCTTTTTATTGAATTTCTCGATTTATGATTGTTTTATGCTTATTTTTTATTTGTTGAAATAAGGTAAATAAGAGAAATTACCATAAAGATCACTAACTATGGCCTTATGACATTTCTCTCCCTGGCCTTCTGTCTTATTCATTTTGTGCAACTAGATCCTGCTGCTGGTACATCTCAAGCAAGTAGAGAGGAAGTTGATTCTCGATCAGTGTTTGTTGGCAATGTGAGGTCACTTTTCCTTTTTTAACATTTTGGTTTTCATTGTTATAAAAGCCATGAAATGTAAATTCATGTCTGCACTTCATAACTGCATATTAGCATTAGCCTTCAGGGAGGTGAATGTTTGCAAGTGCTTGCATATTAGTGACTGTTAGATGTCTATGCATGCATCTTCTGTAATGTGTGCATGTTTTTTTGACTCTAGGAAAATGGCAGGTTTTAGTGTTCATTGTTCATCGTTCATGCTTTGAAATATTTTTCACAAGAGTAATGAGGATGAGGACACAGTATATCTGTTGATTTTGATCTAACAACTAATTCTGATCCAAAACATGCATTTCATTTTTAGACTTCATCATATGGTGTGTTGTTTTAACTAGCGGATACATTTTCAGTGATTCTGAACAGCTTGCTCGTGATGTTAAGGAAGTTCACGTTAGATTACAAATTGTCGGTTTTGTTGTCTCCCCCACTGCTTATCCTGAACCCTGTGCCCAATGAAAGGGCTGAGTTTTCATCATTATATGATTAAAACATCTACTTCACCTATTAGTCGTCATTGAGCTTTAGGGCGTGCATTTAATTTTTTTTCCTTACTTGGAGGCTTATGAAATAGAAGAAGCAGAGAGAAAGAAGGTGAACCCTAGGAATCTGCTTAGCGTTTATTTACATTACAGATGACTGGACATATAAAATTGTGTTTATAGTTTATACTGAAAGGAGGAAGTAGGAAGAAAGGCAGAAAGAGAAAGATGACGGTAGCAAGCCTCTTCATCCCATTTTCTGTCGTACAAGTGGTATAATATGGAAATTCTCATAATTTTCCAAAAATCCATTTTTCACACATTTTTGCTACATTAAATATAAGTCCTAAAATGCGAGAGTTGGACAGTTAAATGCGTCGGAAGGGGCACATTACATGGAAGACTGTGCAGTGATCAATTATGAGCAGCTGGATCAAGAAACAAACATTACAAAAAGATAAAACTCATCTATTTTGCATATACTCTCGTTTAGTTTTTTGTATTTATGTATATAGACACACACACACACTCACACACACATACATAAAGCAATAATGAGCCTCTGGTTATGGTTTTCCATGAGGCTTTATCCTAGGTGGATTGTGCCCCTGAACCTTGTCGTGAAATGGTTTTTATCCTGGAAATGGAATTTTGATGAATTCAAAGGGGTTTTTGGATGTCACTGGGGGGGGTTTTAGCATTAGCTTTCTCTTGCATGTTTCAGCTGATTTTCTTCTCTTTAATTTGAATTTTTTGGTAAAATGAATTTTCCTTCTCTGCAGTTATATGGATTTGAGCTGATAACACCACCATTAATTAGATGGTCTAAATGTAGTGACATTTATAATTTCAGCTTGATAAAGAAATCCAAATGCATTTGATAATAAATACAACTGCTTAGAACAGAATTGCCTGATTTCCAGGTCTATTTTTTTAACTGTTATCCTTTCCTCAGTTCAGTGAAGATGTTTAATCTTCTTGCTCTCGGAATTTAGCATTCTCTGTATAACTTGTATGGGCTTTGAGTTTTAATCTCAGCTTTAAAATCCTCCTTTGACTTTCTTCTTTGACTACAATCGCAGGTCAGGCTTCATTCTTCAAGTTTCTGATTAGCTAGTTCTGGGATTGGGTCAAAGAGTTTATGGTATTAATAGCTGGGTAGTAAAAAAAAAGTGCAAATGAAAACATGGCAGAGAAAACAATAAGCATGAAATTTTGAAAAAAAAAAAAAAAGGAAAGAAAAAGAAAATTCGGGCTTTTGAAACCAATACTTTGAAAAAAAAAAAAAAAAACTAGAAAAAGAAAAGAAGTAAAGGGGGGAGGTGATAAATGCCAAAATCTTTCAATCATAGCAGAAAGAAAGTTTCGATTAGAGAATGTTGGTTGAGTAAAACTTGAGCGAGTTCTTGGGCTGGGATAGACAAAGGAAAAGATGTTCAGGAATCCTTCAGCCTAGACTCAATCAGGTATGAGGAGTAACATGCTGGAAGGTTGAAGACTAACAATGTACAAAGTACAAGCCCACAGTGCTGCTTGTCATGGAGGTTATGCTCGAGGAATGTGTAGGCATTTTGCTGCTTCTGGTGAGAGGTCTTTGATCTCCCTTTCTTCTCCTCGCTTGGGATAGATAGGGATATCTGATTTCTTTCCAAGTATTGTTATCTATCTCCTTTCCTACTCAGACGAGTGACTAAACAAATCTATTTTCAGAACCAAGTGTTTAAGTAAATAAATGTGAACAAACCAATCACTGTCAGCCTGCAGCGATGTATAACAACAATGAAAAAGTAGTTGGTGTCTCGAGTTAGCATTTCTCAACCTTGTTTTGTAGTAGGTCTCTTTATAAATCTTCAATTAATGTGTATGCATTGGGTGACAGTAGCATTTCATTGAGTAGCATTTCTCAACCTGTTTTGAACTCATGGTTGTTTCCTCTTTCATAGCCTGTAAATAGACTTGAGAATGGGTTTTATTGGTGTACCTAGGTCGTATTATCTCTATATTGTTTTGGTTGTTTGAAATAAAAATAATGGGTTTGCAGGAATTCGATACTGTAAACTTCTAATGTTGGCATATAACAACAGTATGGTGAAAGACAACAAGAGTAGCTATAGTTTATCTGATTCATGTCAAACTAGTTGCTTGCACGACTGTTTAAGGAATGGGCTAGCTGCTTTCCTGATTGCTCATGTTTTTGTTGAATTTGTAAGTTACTCCCTCATCTGTAAACGTTAGTGGTTACCTTGATCACAGGTGGACTATTCTTGCAACCCTGAAGAAGTGCAGCAGCATTTCCAATCATGTGGAACAGTGAATAGGGTCACCATCCGCACTGACAAGTATGGCCAACCAAAGGGTTATGCTTACGTGGAATTTCTTGAGGCAGAGGCTGTTCAAGAGGCTCTCCTTCTGAATGAATCTGAACTACATGGCCGCCAATTGAAGGTAAAACAAATCATTTTCTTGTCCACTCATCTTGTACTGGCCTCAAGTCAATGATCCAATTTTCCTTTTCTCCATTTATCATTTTTCAACCTGGGCTTTTTTTATATTATCTTTAATTGATTTTTGTATTGTGCTAGGTAACTGCTAAAAGAACCAATGTACCAGGGATGAAGCAGTTTCGTCCCCGTCGATCCAACCCTTATATGGGGTTTCCACCCAGGGGCACACATATGCCTCCTTATTTCTACTCTCCTTATGGATATGGGTAAGCTTATTGAAAAAGTGCTTTTAAATTGTTTTCATAAATGAACTTAAGCCTATTCTGTCTCTATTTTAAATGATGAACTTTTAGCAATTTTCTATTTGTTGCAGGAAGGTTCCAAGATTCAGAATGCCTATGCGATACAGCCCCTATAACTGAAAGGTATCTTGCTTGGGGGGGCATTGCTTTCAACAAGATACATAAAAACTGCTATATATACATATATTTAGCTTGTCCTTGTATGTCATGGATCTTAATGTTTTGGAAAGACCAAAAGGCAATGGCAGAATTTGCTGCTTGTATTAATATGGTGGAATATGCGAGAAGTTTGGATCATTTTAGTTTTCGATAGACAATGCATCTTATGATTTTGCAGTCCATGCTTGATAAAAACATATTCCTGCTTGGAAGTTCTCTGCTGCTGGTTGAAATAGGTTGTGTCATCCCCAACGTTTTGGCCTTTTCTTTTAGGATCCTTTGTTCAGCCTTGCTGTCTATAAACCGGCCCTTTTTTTTTTAAAATGGTTCATGCATGAACTGTGGTTTTTTGAACAAATGCTGTTTTTACTGCATTCTCATGGTGTATTTGCTTACTATATTTATCAAAACTCAAGCTCCATATTTCATGCAATCATTAATATTTTGTCTGGTGACTGGTTGTGTTGATATAAATAGCGATTGAATTTAGTTTTCTTGAAATTGTGCACATTATTAATTATTTTAGTTTTTTATTGAAAGGAAAACTTTTTTCTTTTTTTTACAAGATTTATTTTTAAGCTCCCGAGTCGTGCCAAAAAATTTCTGAATTTTTTCATTCAATAATTTTGCAACCACGAATTCTCCATTTCTATCTTCCGACCTGTCTGCAGGGGCAAGATGCCAAATTATTACATGACATACTTTTATCTTCCTTCCAAGTTCCATCCATAACGTCAAACATGTAAAGACAATATAAAAATCTGAAGTTGCACCAAATTAATATTGTGAGATTCTGCTACCTTTAGCTTCCAATCGAAGATTCACGGGCTCTCACGCATTCTTTAACCAAAATTTTCGTTATCATTCGTTTGCAAGAAGAATAATAAATACACTACACTTTGATCTTATCCTTGTGTCCTTTGTTTCCTTCTCTTCCTCAAGGTCCCACTCCCACCATTCCATAACGACCAACAATTCTAGTGCTTATGAGATGCACCTAATCATTTCCCCCCTCCCTCTCTTGAAGCAGTCATAATGGTCTCCCAGCCCCCAACACCTTTCTTAAAGCATTCCCTTCTCCTTCCTTATAACACAAAAAAAAAAAAAAAAAAAAAAAACCCTTTCTCCTTCCTTTATAACACAAAAAAAAAAAAAAAAAAAAAAATTCACAAAAGCCAAATCCCCCAATTTTAATAACAATATTAAATATATAAAAAAAAAAAAAAAAAAAAAAAAAATTCACAAAAGCCAATCCCAATTTTATAACAATATTATATATAATAAAATATTTACTTTTTATTACTTTTTTACCCTCCTTCCTTTTTGAAAATCTATTTTACACGTCACGCAACACGACAAACCCCCCGTCCTCCGCCTATGGACAATACCAGTACAAAATATTAAACAAAAAAAAAAATTGAAAAACTCTATTTCCATCCCGCTATGTTATCCCCACCTTTCATTTATCTACATTACAGTACACCGAAATCGGTCACGTGTACATTCTCTTAGCGTTTCATGCCACGTCTCTCCATCAAACGAGCGTCTTGCATGCATTTGTCTGAGGGTCCCACATGGCTGGTAACAGATACTTCCTTCCATTGACTCCGTGTGCGTTAAAGCTAGCCCCCGTCGCCTTATCCGCCAAGACCCGGCCCGGATATCCTGGATATGACCCGGTTCCGAATTTACCAGTACAGGCTGAGGCTGCTTCGAGAGGAGCAGTGGGTGGGCCTTGGTAATAGCCGCTGTTAAAAGGGTTGGTAACGGTGTTGGCCAAAAGAGTAGCCAAGTTAATGATCATACCGTCAACTCCAACGTCTCCGTTAGGCGCCACTAACGGCGGAGTTTGTGGACCATAAATAGGCTGGTGAAAAGGCCAGGCGCATTGACCCGGGCACTGAGTTTCCGAGTTACCGACCCAAATGTAAGTTCCCTTAGCTGACCCGCGGGACGACCCGTGAGTCCCACACCTACTCATGCAAAATCTATCGACGGCAACGTCCTTCGACGTCAAAACGACGTTAATAGAGTCCATAGCGAAGTTCGTTTTAGAAGCCAAAGCAAGCAAATGCGATGTCTTAAGGATTTTGCCCAGTGTATACTGTTCATGTAGGATTTGATGGCCAACTTTGAGAGTAGACGAGCCACCGCGGTACTTCTCAGTCGTCTGCCACCAGGTAGCAGCGGAAGGCACCGGAGCTCTTTTAGAGCTCAAAGAGTTAATGAAATCGACGATTATCGACCTTTGGGCAGGACTGAACTGACCGTACCATATTAGATTAACGGTAACGTTTCCTTTCAAGAGAACACCGTTATGGTACTTTAGAACCAGAGGCTGTTCTTCAACTACGGCAGAAAACAAAGGAGTGATAAAACAGAAGAGAAGAAGAATGGCAAAACGGTAAATAGAAGAAGATGCCATAGCTTACAGGGGAAGAGAACTGTGAGACAGATGAATTCAAATTGGGGAAGAATTCAAGTATTTATATGGAGAAGGGAAGAGTAAAGGGTGACAGCTGTTGGGGGAATTGTGTCAACATCAAGAAATACCACGTGGAAGTATTTGACTGGGTAGTGAGTGTGAAGAGGAGTCTTTGCCAGGCTGTAAGGTTCTCGAATGGTGACATGGAGGTCTACAGAGGAGTTGGGTTTGGATAGATACTATAGAGTTTAGACTCATAGCATGGCAGTAGATGGTGATGTGAGTCATCATGCAGCGTGTAACTTTGTGCCTACGGTGTTACTGATTTTTACCCTTTTTATTTTTACTGTGCACAAATCCCCATAACACTATTCAATAATCTGGACACATAATGTTAAAAATGAACATTATTCCCACGCCATTATGATTTTTTTGGCAAAATTATGAGAAAGTAAAAAAGGGGAGGGAAGATGTTTGGTCCTTTTGGATAACGTTGTTGCTTATAAAATAAGTGGTCATGTACTGCAAATATTGGTGGTAGAAGAATCTGATCTAAATGTAATCTTTTAATAATGAATAAATATATTAAGTTATTTTGAAGAATTAATATATTAAGCTGATAGCACCTAATTAGGGTTTTTTTTAATATTTATTATTGTATATGGAGAAAATTTGAAATTATATTAATTAATTTTTCTTAATATGTTTATATTAGAAGTAAGAATATTTTCATATAACGAACAACGAATTAAAAATATATTTGATTATATTATTTTATAATTAATTAAAATTTATATTAAGATTAGGGACGGATTTATTTGTAAAGTTGAGATTGATGGTCTCTAAATTTTTCAAAGTTCTATTTTTCACCTCTAAATAATTGTTAATTTATTAAAAAATATACACATTGGCCTCCAAAAGTTTAAAAATTTTGCTAAACGTTTACTTTCTTGTATGATTAGCGTTTTTCCTTATTCTCTAAATAATTTTGAGATATTTGCATTAATTTGTTGTTTTATATTTTTACTTATTTTTCAAAAGAAGTTTTCTATTTCTCAAAGAAAAATAAAACCAAAGCAACATCAAGTGGACCCATTGGCCATCTGAAACGATCATCGCCGTGGATCCAAAACGACCGTCCATCATGATTCATTGCATCCAGGAACGGGCCCACAAAAGGCTCTGATTTTTAATCTGAAGTTTGGTACAGGAGGCTATAAGGTATGACGCAGGACTATCACAGCTACTGCATAATTGGAGAAAGAGGCAGCTGGGGCCCACAGGGCCATTGGGAGAGGAGTTGATGGATGAGATGACATCAGCTGTTTTAAGAGTTTATGTAGGGTGGGTGCAGGTGCAGACTTCAAGACAGGGTAGTGTTTCAGTGGTTCTTTTTATTTGTTTTTATTACTTTAAGTCCACGCATGATCCATAACGAAAGATTTCTTTACAATAAAAAGACAGCAATAATTAATTTTAATTGATTAGGTCGATTTTGTGCAGTTTGATTATACTTTATCAAAAAATTATTTGTAAAATAAATAATTTGTATTTATTTAAATACTAATTTCATATAATTTTTTTTAAGGAAAATTTTAACAATATATTAATTATTTTTATTATTTGATCTCTATTATTAATCTTACTTATGAATTTATATAATATATTGTTCACTTGATTTAAAATCTTAGATCATAATAATCTCATATTTTTTTCAAATCACTTATGTTTATTTTTTTAAATGGGACTCGTGAGAGATGCGTAATTCCCGATGCTCCGCCTGTGAGCTTCTACATGTGAAAATATTTTTTCTTGTGCCACGCCCACACTGAGGATTTATTATTTTCTGTAATCAATGGAAATTTTTTTCTTTTGTTTTTTTTTTTTTTTTTAATCTCTACTTATAATTTAAAATAGTAATATATTGTTTCACCTGTTGATTTAAAAATTCTTAGATGCATAATAATCCATATTTTTTTCAAATGCACTTAATGTTTATTTTTTTAAAATTTGGGACCTCTGAGAAGATTTGAGTTAATTCCCGATGCTTCCCGCCTGTGAGCTCTAACATGTGGAAAATATTTTTTCCTTGGTGCACGCCCACACTGAAGGATTTAATTATTTTCTGTAAATCAATAGGAAATTTTTTTCTTTTGTTTTTTTTTTTTTTTTTTTTGTTGAGCTTTTCCACAAAAAAGATAAATTTAGTTAATCTTAACCTTATGATCTTATGAACTCATTTGGTGGAATCTTACATTCTAAAGCAATATAATCAAAGTGTTAAGTAAAATTATAAAAGTTTTAGTTTTTTTTTTTTTTTTTTTTTTTTTTTTGCTTTTCCACAAAAAAATAAATTAGTTAATCTTAACTTATGATCTTATGAACATTTTTATCTTACATTCTAAAGCATATAATCAAAGTGTTAATAAAATTATAAATTTAAAAACTTCATTGTTAGTTTGACTAGGACCTATATAACTCAAAGATTGATTTTTCAATTAATTGACAATCAAAATAGATTATTATGGACAGAATGACTAAATATTGACGGAATCATAAATTAAAAATCTTATAATTAGTTTTTTTTATGAGATTAGAGAATAGGAGATTTGAATTTACCACTGGGTTTGATGTGCTATAATTAGTTTTGAAATTAAGACTCTCATTCATTAATTTGACTGTTAATTTTAGAAATCATATTTAATTTTTTCTTCTTAGAATATGGAAAAAATTATCAAAAAACTATTCAATCAAAAAAGTATTATTTCCTACGTTCTTTTTATTTATTTATTATTTTTTTTGGATGTTCTAAAATATTTGCAAAATTTTTAAATTTAGTATTTTAATGACTTATTAAAGGTAAAGAAGAGCAAAATAATTTTTACTGACTAAATTCTTAATATGTGTGTTTTGTCAAACCATGCAAATAAAATGAGATAGATAGAGTATTTATTTTAATTATTCTTATTAAATCACGAAATTTCTCTTTTTTTTTTTATTTTTGTATCACACATGGAATTTAATTGTGTTTTTTTTCTTAACAATTTTTGCTCAATTCAATCATGAAGTTATAATTTACATGGAGTAAATTAATAATTGTATGAAGTTAAAAAAAAGAGTAAATTAATAATTGTATGAAGTTAAAAATAAAAAATAAAAAAAACCAAGAAGGCATAGTGGGTTGGTGGTGGCGTGGCGGTGGTGGTGGTGGTGGGGTTGGAGTTTTAGGTGGGGAATGGTCCACAGCGTTCTTCGAAACAAGAGGCGAAAAAGTTGCCGCCGTCCCCACATGACGCAACACAGCAGCTTATAGAAATTCTCCAAAAACAGCTTTTTTTTATTTTTTTAGCGTTTTGGGTTTCGCAAAATTCCCAAACACTCCACTACTTAATGGGGCCGGTGCCGACGTCCAACTCTCTAATCTCCTGCAATTGCCGCACGTGACTTTTTCCATTACATCTATTACATTTTCTTTTTTTGTTCTTTTTATTTTTCCCTTTTCATTTTAAAACGTTGTACTATTCTAAGTCTAGGATGAGAGATTACTATTTTAAATATTTCCTTTCCCATATTATTAAAAATTAAGCACTTTTAATCTTTTAAAATATATTATTTTGTTCTTATGATCAGTATGAAAATCAAGACTCGTGTAATGTGAAAAACATTCATTACTGGTGTATTAATATTTTTTGAGTCCGGTACTGGTGGAGTTCTTAAAAATTCAGAAAGAACTATCGTTGTTTATTTTTTGAGTCTGTGGGTGTCCTTAATTCTAATAATGCGGAACTTTTCGCTGGCTTTAAAGCAGTAAAGGTATCATATCTCTAGGATTTTAAATGCTGCCCTTCAATTCTTGAATCAGATTTGAAAGATGCTATATGTTGGCTATCTCAAAAGGACAAATGTCTTTAGAAGTGTTAGGAACATTTTAATAAATTTGATGCAATGCTAGAATTCATAGCTAATATCTCATTTCATAGTGTGTAAATTGAGAGAGAAACCATTTTGTTTGATAGTTTGACTAAAAGAGGTAGATGCAACGGTGTCCTTTTTTACTTGGATTTGATTTTTACTATTGAAGCTATATGATATTTTCTTCAATTGTTTTTTTTTTTTTTTCTTATCGAGAAGAGATTTCAAGCTGATATTTAGTTCACTAGATTTTTTTATTTAGCATTTTCGAGTTAGGTTGAGTTTATTGTAAAGCCCTAATGGTCTGAATTTAGATGTTTGGCTATATTAAGTTTTCCTGAATTTTAATAATAAAAAAATTACTAATAAAAAATTAGGGTATTAATATTATTAAATTTGTAAATTCAAAAATATAATAAACACCTTATATAGTTGAAACTACTGTAAAATGTTTTAAGATCAAATACTACTCGCAAACAAAAGTGAAAGAAAGAAAATCATAAACCGTGAAAAATGATGAGTTTCAAATTTGAGTTTCTTCATTATAAAATTAAATTTATTAATAATTTAGTACAAATGAACAGTTATTTTATATATAGCCTAAAATATTATTTCAATCGCAAAATGTTTAATATAAAAAAAAATCATAGACAAACAAAAGGCGGGGAAGGAGAAAAAAAAAAAACAAAGAAAGCAAGTGTAAATTGCTGGAAGTAATGTTTCACGTGAAAGTTAATAAAAACAAGACAAGGTCAGGGTCCAAATTGGCTGATTTTGGGATTGTATTAGATGCGTAGGACCGGATTGTTGTCGTACCTTTTCAATTATCATCCCATCCCAGGCGCATGGCAATGCCTTGATTCTTAAAAAATCTTCCCTATTACACGTGTCAAATTTTGGAAGAATTAAGCTATGGCCCACCGTGGACGTGCGTGTACAATATTTAGATGAAAACTAGAGGATCATCAACAAAGCATGTAACCGAAAGTTGTACCATATAAATGGATGTCTTAGTGAGTTGTACCCTATACATGTATATATATCATAGGTTTGTACTATCATTATCTTTTCTTTTATGTTTTTTTTTTTTTTTTATGAGATACTATATATCTTAGGTCTATACTAATATTGTTTT